TCTATTTTCTTATTTTCTATTATTTTGCTCATATAAAGCTAAAATATTCAAGTTCATGTCCCGTATCGGCTGACTTTCTTCTCTTTTCAGCCTCTGTGGAGCTGACGAGGGACTTCTGTGAACAGTTGGATGGCCTGGTGGGCCCTCAGCTCACTTTGCTGGCGTCTGACATATGTGAACAGTTCACCATTAACCGCAGGATATCAGGGTCAGTTGAGAATCCTCCGCTCTCCTAATTAAAAACTCACGACCACGTGTAGATGACTTGTTTTTGTTTTCGGCCATGCTAACTGGTGATGATCAGATTTTGCCAAAATATTTCTATCTTAAAGATGCTGTCTTTCAGTTCTCAGTGCTTTAAAATTGGTGTGTGTCATTCACCTGATAACACAAGACAAGATTTTAAGGCTTGAATATGATGAATTGAAGGATCCCACTGATGACCTTGCAGTGTAAGGCGTACTGCATACTGTGCTACAGTGTCAACAGGGCACTTGACGTAAAATGAGGCGTGACTACTTTACAGCTAGCATACTGTAATTGCGTGACAAAGAAGACATGTGATTGGACAAAATTTCAGCCTCATTTCACACTGCCAATTTTTAGCTCTGTGTTTAGTTAATCTTCAGGGGATAACCCCTTAAACTCAGAGCTAGGCCAGCAAGCCTTAGGCTAAAGTCTGAGTTAGCACACTTGGAATGTGCCATCTTTGTGAAAGCTTTCTTATCCCTGGGGCTAAATGGAGTGTGAAAAAACCTAATAGACTGACCAAAAGATCAAACCTTTAATTGATTTAATTTTTTTTAAATCAACACATTCATTGACTTTATAAAATAATTGTTAGTTGCAGCCCTACTGTGGATTACTCGATCTTTCACTCATCCATTCCAGAACAATATATTATCATGAGTTAGAGAGAGTGTAACATAAGAGCAAGAGAAGATATCAATGATATTCATCATTTGAACTCTGTGTCATCTTATCAGATAAACATTTATTTCCATAATGGTTTAGCGCAATAAGTCCTTGGTGATTACAGCAGCCGTGTCGTTATCAGTTTGCAGTCAATCCTTTGTATTAACTCTTCCTCTCCGACAGCGACACATGAGACTGTTAATACCACTGGATATCATCAGGGCACTACTTATGGGTAACTCGAGCAGCGTAATTTTAAAGACTAGCATCCTGACCCGCTGTCCTTTAACCCTAGCACTTAGCTTTAGATACGTCCTTGCCTGTAATCCAAGACTGTACTCCCTGGCCTGGACAATTTGATGGGCTCCTCTTTTAATCACCCTAGTGAAGAATCCACTGAATAAATAATGCCGTACCAAACTCGTCAGCTGGCATTCAGCATTCTGTGACACGATTTGTCCTGTTGGAACTGTAAATAATTAGATGCAGCATAGATAAAGATCAGCTGTATGACCTGTTTGAATACATACACACACTCTTCCAGAGATGCAATTACAGTACAATGGAGTAGGTTTAATTAATATGTACGGCTTGTTTTTAGGTGATTGTGATCATTCAAACTGATTTGGCCTACTGTATCTTTTATTCATGATGTGTGTTTACAGTACGGCCAGCCCCACAGAGACCCGAACTCTAACTTGACATTGTTGGTCTCTTATTGATTTATATAGGGGCCATAGCTCCAGCTTCAGTGATAAAACACAGAAGCAGCTTGTGTCTTTCCTTCAGATCTGGACAAAATTATGCTTGTAACTTCTTCTCTTTGTTCACAAGTAATGTAAAACAACTTTAAAGGATTAGCGGTCCCCAAAGTAACTGAAGATGTTTGTTACTTTCTGTTTAATCATCTTCGGCTGTGTCTGTTCTTCAATTCTGTGTCCATTCAGGCCAGACAAGGAGCCACAGTTTAAGTTCATCTACTTCAACCACATGAACCTGGCGGAGAAGAGCACCATCCACATGAGGAAGACCGCCAGTGTTTGCCTCACCTCTGTCCACCCTGACCTCATGAAGATCCTGGGAGACATCAACTGTGACTTTGCCAGGTACAGCAGAGAACGCTGGCTTTGTAAAAGTAAAGCTGTATTCATCTTTCCCAAATGCCTCCAGACTTTTGTTTAGGAATTTATATAGTTAAGGAAGCTTCAGCTTTCATGTCAACGTCAGTGAAGGGGCAATGCCATGAAGAGATTAAAACTACGTTCAGCTGTTGCTCATTTATATACATAGCTTTCACTATCTTTCAAAGCTGCCATGAGGGTGAAGTCATGTGAAAGTTCCATTTTCAGTCTGTGGCATATACAGTGGCATCGATATTCATAGCGTTTATTCCAGGATCAATATCAGTTCCTCTTTTTGTGCAGATGTTATTTTACCTTGTCTGCACACTCAAATTTACCCACATTGTTTAATTAAATGTCTTTTATGAAATTTCATGTGGGTGTTGTGGTCTATGTAAGTAAATACATAATCTTAGAAGTACAGTTGCCATCAAATACAAAGACCCTGCTGTAAATGTGATAGTTGCCCATAATGTCTTCCTATCCGTCTCGCAGGGTTGACGAAGATGAAGAAATCATCGTAAAGGCTATGACAGATTATTGGGTAGTCGGCAAGAAGTCAGACCAGAGAGAACTGTATGTGATCCTGAATCAGAAGAACGCCAATCTGATCGAAGTAAACGGTATGTAAATCTGTGTCATTACAGCCACAATAGACAATCTGCCTTAACGCTTAATCTCTACTTTGTCCTTAATGCCCTTTTTGTCTTTTCACCGCTACAGAGGAGGTTAAGAGGCTTTGTGCGACGCAGTTCAACAATATTTTCTTCTTAGACTGATGCAGCGGACAGACAGACTGTTTCACCACACTAAAAGCTGTCAGTGTTGCAGGGTATCATGACAGCAAGCAGCGTAATGCAATAATTGCATTGTAAAATAAGGAAAAAAATAATAAAAAGCTCTCTCACCAAGTTTTTTTTATTTAACCTATAAAAATTTTAATTTAATTAAGTGTAAATCCAGATTTTTACTGTACATGTACTTTATTTCCCTTCATGTTCTTTGTATATACTTTGGATTTTATTGACTGTTCATTTTTGATTTCTTTCACATTACAATTTGTTCATGCATTTTAGGTTATGAACACATCATGACAAATTCTCTGATTAATTTAAACTGACGTGCACAGAAAAGATTAAACCAGGTCCCTTTGATGATCCGTGATAGTTGTAAAATAAGATCATCATGTCAAAAGTATCATGGTTTGTAAACAACTGCGCTAATTAAATAAATAGAGTAATAATTTTACTTAGTGTACGAATGTCTTTTGTTGTGGTTGTTGAAGCTTTGGAGAAGTTTAATATGTTGTCACGAGGTGCGTCTCTCTCTGTGGCAGTTGTTAGTAGAGAGCATTTATGAAATAGTAGGAAAGCCTCTATTTACATGTAGCATTACTTGTTGACTAATTTTACGCCTTCTCCTGTTATGGGCTTTTTTTGAGGCAATTATGCATTTTTTAAGTGCTTCATTGGAATAATTTCGGCATCCAAAATAGGTCTTTTGGTGACTGAAAAAGGACAGTATATAATGTGTGGGACGCTGTGTGGCCTCAGCCAAAAGAAGTAATTAAGGATTAACCTTAAATGTTTTGAACTGGGGGCCCTGGAACAAATTGGTTTATAGATATTTACTGTTTTGATTGAATAATTTTGTGGGGGCCCAGAATTCTAACAGCACCACTCTGCTTCTTCTGTGTTTTTATGATGGATGATCTTTCAATAATAGTAATTCAGTAACATTACAGAGCAAATTGAACAGGCCAAATAATTTACATTTGTACAGTATGCCTTCCCCTTTTACAGAGTAAATTATAGACAGAAAGAACTGACTATGTATAGTGGCGGGGAAAAGTATGTGAAGCTTTTGGAATTACCTGGATTTCTGCATAAATTGATTTTGTTCTTTTTTTTTTTTTCTTGAATTTTACTGAACACACTGTAAACATCCACATGACTATGTACAATGCAGGCTGGGAAAAGTATGTGAACCCTTAATAACTGGTATTTTGGACTATTCCTTTTTACTCAACTGTTTCAGTTCAGCAAAATTCTTGTCTGGTGTGTATCGCTCCATTGAGGTCATACCACAGCATCACAGTCAGTTTGAGGTCAGGACTCTGACTGGGCCACTCCAGAAGGCGTATTCATGTACATGTTAAATTTATGCAAAAATCCAGGTAATTCCAAAGGGTTCACATACTTTTTCCTGTCACACTATATACAGGTGCATCTCAGAATATTGTGAAAAGGGTATTTTATTTCTGTAATTTAAGTAAAAAAGTGAAACTTTCTTATATTCTAGATTCATTACACATATGTGAAATATTTCCTTTTTTTTCAAATCTAATTGCAGCTCACAGCTCATGGAAGTCAAAAATCCATATCTCATAATATTAGAATATTAAAATAAAGGATGTATAATAAAGAAGTTTCAACCTTCTGAAAAGTTGAACAGTTCTGTAAAAGGTTAATTTATGCCGTCAGTGCTTGGTCAGGGCTCCTTTTGCACAAATTACTGCATCAGTGTGGCGTGGCATGGAGACAATCAGCCTGTGGCACTGCTGAGGTGTTATGGAGGCCCAGGTTGCTTTGATAGAGGCCTTCAGCTCGTGGACTGGAGAAACACATCTCAGACTGTGGAAACTTCACACTTCAAGCTACGTGGATTCTGTGCCTCTCCACTTGTCCTCCAGACTGTGACCTGGATTTCCAAGTAAATTAAATTCATAATTTCATCTAAAAAAAATATTTATATATATCATTTTATGTGAGGAATAGAAATCATGGCAAAAACAGTAACAAGTAGTAGTAGTAGTTATGAGCTTTTACAATTGCACTTCACACACCGACCAATGGGTGGAATAAAACTTTACAGTTGTTACCACAGAACAAAAAGCTGAAGAAGAAGGAAAATAACCAATCAGCGCTCACCGTTTCTGTGTGATCTGCAGCCAATCAGCGTTAGCTTAGATGATTTTCGAAAAAGTCACCCGCCATGATTGTTGTGTTTTTTTTAGGTTGGATCTAGTCCGTCCGTTGTGCACGCAGTAAGTTTATTTACTGGAAGAAGAGGAAGTTTTTTTTTCGGGAAACAACAAGGTAAGATGGATGTGTAATTATATGTAGTTACTAACACTTATCGTGTTGCTTCATGATCTGTCGGTGTGGTGGTGAGCTAACTAGCTTTAGCTAGTTTAAAGTTAGTTGAATCCCTTTAGTTAACTGTTAGCTTGTTTTGGTGTCCAACGTGTTTTTACATTTTGCAATTCAATTTATTGCAGTTTTAACGACAGCTAGTTAACGGTCAGTAGTAGAAGTCAAATTATGTTGGGCTTTGATAAACATAAATTAACGTATGCTGAACTTAAAAGTAGATATTGGACCACAGCTTTAAGCTCGGAAACGTTAAGTTTACGTTAAGTTATTGTGTAACGTTACATTGTACAGGTAACGTTTAAGTGTTCCTTCACACACATAAAATGTTTCAGAGCCCGGCCTCTTTTCATTCCTTCATTTTACTAAGGTTTGATAGATGTAACATTAGTGGCTTTCGATTCACTTAATTCACTTTAATTCACCAACGGAGACAAACATCCCAGGACTCAATCGACGAGGAAACAATCAAGTAGCGTTTAGACAGTTAACTAAACTTTTGTTATGTTTCATTTTATTTTCGAGAGGGTTCTGCTTGTTTCATATAGATATAAGTAGTAATTTATTTCCCATCAACGTAATAACGTTTGTGGAAAATTAATGAGGAAATGATATATAATGGCAATAATTAGTCTGATGCAGCCGGTTTTGTTTTAATGTTAGCTGACCACAGTACAAAACATGTGAATATATGTTTCCCATTACACCTTCAGTTTATGATTCCTCTCATTTTAACACAGTGTAATTTTTTGTGCCAATTGGCATGACTAATAGCACATCCAATTTGATGAACCTCTGATAACTATTCTTTTCCTATTCCCAACTACTTCAGATACCTGAACATGGAGTCTCGGTTTGCTCACCTGCGCCAGCGGGACACTAGTGCGTCAATGCTGAGGGTAAAAATGTCCCGTAGAAGGTCTCAGTCCCAGAAAGAGAACAGAGAACGGACTGTGAACACACGCAGGCAGCTGGATAAGCTCCCGGAGCTGGATATCTCTTCCCTGGATGCCTCCATCGCAATGGCTAACATGTCAACCATTCAGGAGAAGACGCAGAACAATGCAAAATTTGATAAAAGTAGGGCTTTATTTTCCATCACAGCTCAAACCTATTCGTCTGTTCACAAATCCAATGAGGCACCTGCAGCAATAACCCTCTATCTGAATGTCTTACATCTTTTTAAATGCATTTTAGAGGCTCGCACCCATTTCTACGTTCAGTGATCACCAGGCTACTCTGCCTTTTTATGACCATCATTCTTGCTAATTCATGCTTTATCTCACACCTGTTTCCACAGACAAGGCTGGAGAAGAGAGGTTAAAACAGCTTGCACGCTGGAAAGAGCGCAAGGCTCTTGAGAAGGAAAAGGAAAAGAGAGAAAGGGAGCGTAAAGGGGTATTTAAGACTGGCGTGTATCATCCAAGGGACACCCTTACCATTGTCTCCCTGCCTGCAGTCCCAGCTGCCTCAACCAGAGCTACGGAGGTGAGGGAGGACTCCACGGTAGACTCATTTACACTATTTACTGTACAGATATACCCCAGTGTTTTCATATGTTCTTATTGGATATGATAACACAAATCTTAACAGAGGTGTAGCTCTTTGTGGCTGGGTGCGGTTATAATGATGTATGACTCCAATAATCAGCATGTAATATTTGCTTGTCTTTTAGACACAAGTGAACACAGCTCCATCCCAGAGTACCAGAGTCACTCGTTCAATGAAACAGCAGCATCAAGTGCAGAGGGTACTACTTTCTCTAAGAAAACGTTCTTATATGTTCTCGCATTAACTTCCATAAAACTAAGCACTAAAATTCTCTGTTGCATTGCTTTTCTTTTGCCTAAATTTCTACAGCCTCTGAAGATGCAGGATCCAAATACTGTGGCAAAGAAAGGTAAATTAACTAAATGTCCCTTTTATTTGAAATGTATCTCGCTGTCTTCTGCAACCTGGTTTATTTTAGATCTGACTTCTCCTTTAGCTCAACCTGCTGTGGAAAGACCAACCAGGAGCCGTGTTGCTCCCGTCAAGCCTGCACCAGCTAAGAGCAAGACTAAAATGCCTGCAGGTAACTTAATAAAAGGAAGAACAATCCTCGCACATAGCTGGACCTTGAGACAGCTATCGTGTTGACTTTACCCCTATTGTATTTCCTTATTTGCATCTCAATCTGTGTCTTGTCATGCCATCCTGCCCTAGTGGAGCCTGTCGTACAAGCTTTGTCGACCAGAACAGCCAACAGGCCTCCTGTTACAGCAGCTCCTGTGGTGAAAGACAAACCTAAGGACAAGTCTGCAGGTACACATTGAGCCATGACCATTGTTTCAGCAATTTTGTAAAAAAAATAATAATAATAATTTATTCATAGATGCGTAAATACTGTAAAAGTAGTGGAGATGCTGACCGTCAAAGCTATCAGACAGGTACACTATTAGATTAACCCCACTCTTAATATTCTTAAATGCCTCACCTCACTCTCAGGTGTAAGAACCACAAGGAGCAGAGCATTAGTCCAAGCTGTGGCCCCGCTTTCTGAGACAGGAAGGAACTGTAAAGGTAATAAATGTTGACAAAGAGCTGTCCAGTTTTCCCACGTAAGAGACACTTGTTTTAATTTCTTACACTATTTCTTTTGTGTATCTTCCCCTGTAATATGCAGCACCTGTTAACACTGTCCAGCCTGCTGTGCCCAAGGTGAGCATTTCTGTCAGTTTTACAACAATGACTATTTTATTTTTTTAAACTTGCTGATCAGTTAGTTTGCCATTTCGATCCTGTGTAGGAGGCTGAGCCAAAGGAGTCTGAGTTGCATTATCCAGAGGAAAAACCTCATCCCCCCAGCTGTTCTGAAGAGGATGACATGGTGGTGGAACAAGCTCCAGCTGACTCTATCCCTGCTGTGGATCCCATTGAAGCGCCATCCTCTATCTCTTCTTTTGCTCCAGAGGGTTTTGTCTTTCAGGCTCCAACTGGCTTGTCGTCCTTCAAGTTCGAACCTCTCACTCCTCGCTCGGCAGACGTCTTCCTTACACCAAGGTCTGTTTGGTTTCACTCTTGTTTGTTTATAGTTTTTACTGAAGATATTTACGACAATATAACAATATTAAAGGTTTTGGGTGGTTTAAATAAGCCCACAATGGAATTTAAAGCAATAGGGAACCGGAGATTTTTGCCTTTAGAGCCTATTAGAAATTCTGTATAATTTTAAAACTTAAGTTGTTTCCTATCTCAATGCCACGTTGTCACTCTTCCTACCTAGCCCCAGCTTCATTCTTCCAGAGGCCCCCACGTTCAACCTTGAGCCTCAGGCTGAGCAAAGCAAACCCCTTCACTCTAAATCCCCTCGTACATCTCCCACAGTGGCCCCTCCGAATCCGGGCAGCCCCCTGGAATCGAAACATGATGTAACATACTTCAGGTGCCTTTTTTTTGGTCTGTTAACATTTTTCAGTTATTACAATTATTTCTTAGTTAATAAATGTTTTTTCTTGGTATATTATTTAAGATTGGAAATTGCCAATGAGACAGACAGACTGATAACTCTGTGTGGGCACTGGGAGCCTAAAGTGGAGGATGAATCCATTCCAGAAGAGAGTGAGTGTATTGTCTTTAATGTGACATCCTGAATATGTCACTAAATTTCATTTAGTGCTAGTGCAAGATGGGTGGTGTTCCTAATTGAGGGGAAATTACATTATTGTTAAACTGAACTATTATGATTCAGTATCTTTCTTGCTGTTGTGTGTTTAGTGAGAGACCGTATGCGTACAGCAGTCGGCCAAGCGAGGCTGTTGATGAAAGAGCGCTTTAAACAGTTCAGCGGTCTTGTGGACGACTGCGAGCTGTGCAGAGGAGAGAAGATCACCACCTGCACTGACCTGCAGGGGTTCTGGGACATGGTTTATTACCAGGTGCGTACCTCATATGAGAGGGACAATATATTGTTTCAGGCACCAAACACATGAGAAGGCTATATATTCTGTACTTTGCCATCTTTCAGGTGGAGGATGTCAACAAGAAGTTTGACGCTCTCAAAGAAGCAGAGAGCCGTGGCTGGGTGGAGGAGCACAAGCCACCACCGCGACAGAGGAAAGCAGTGAAGGTGAAGATTCTCTACAGTAGGGCTCGGGCGATACAGCGACATCAGGGATTACGGAAATATGTTCACTTATATAACGTGCATGGGGATGTCGCAAATGAAGTGCTGCAACTGGGCTAAGCAGGGATTCCCTGGGGAGTCAACCTGCAGCAAAAAACAAACAAACTTCCACCCATCTAAGGTTTGGGAGTATTTTTGACAGAGCACCAACAATTGGGAGCTATGTAAATAGGAAATGGCGTACACAGCAGTAATGTTGCTATGCACGAACACCTGAAGCGACCGAAACACTTAAAGCAAAATCTTCCCGCAGTGGTTTGTCAAGACAGCTGCAAGATGGCACTTCACATCCTGTTTACTTTTCATGCCACAAGCACGATATGTTAGGATTATCAACACAAGGAGTGAGTTTCTGTTAGTAGTGACTTTAAAATAGGTTTTCCATAAATCCATGTCATAACCATTTAAGTCATGTACTGAATCTCCAGTTCATGGAAATGGTTGACAAACAGTGATTAAATTCATCTTTGTCACAGTAATCCTGTTGAATTTGCCATCCAGTATTTTTCTAATCTGGCATCTGATAAATAGGATCTGTTATCATTAAAAGTAATGACATGGAAATTAGACTCAGTTTAAAATATGCCACTCTTATAATTCTAATGTGCTTTGCATATTATTGAAATAAGAATGAGATGAGCTGTTAATATTTATTTTGGATATATTCATTGTTATATTAATCTTTAAAATTATCCATAAATTAGTTTTTAGATTAATTAATACATAATAGTTAAGTGCTGCCTCACTTTGTAGTGCATTTTGAAACGGACTATATGATCACATGGCCTACCATTTTGCTTTTGTAATTTGGATAATAAGCACTTTTATATGCATTGTTCTTGTTTCTGATTCTGATACACAGACATTGTGCCTGTCCTTTCCATTTGACAGAAACCTTCCGCTGCACCTGCCAAACCAACAGGAGCCACAACAGCAGCCAAGTCTCGTCTGGCTGCTGTGAAGGCAGCCATGAAAGCCAGACAGCAGGCAGCAGAGAAAGCTGCAAAAGATGCAGGTAACATTGAGGACAACCCCAGCCCGAACTCTCGGGAACCACAACCCCAAACAGAAGTCCAACCGAATGACACGGTTGTCTTTGATGGAGGCTTCTTCCATGTGGAAAGCCCAGCCAAACCACCAGGTGAGAGGAAATAACTGCTTGCCAAAGAGTCATGCATCACTGATCACTTGTGTGTACTTGAACTAGGGATTGACCGATATGTTTTTTTTTTTTTTTTTCGGGCCAATACTGATTATTAGTAACTAGACCGATATTTGGAGTCGATACACATTTGCTGTAAAAATTTTAATCTTGGTGTCAGAATTTAGAATAACACAAACTCCAACACAAAACTTTGTTGAAAATAAGATTAAACTTAATTGTCATGTTTAATCTTTATAAATAGTAAATTAAATGAATTAGAGATCCATCACAAAGATGGACTTGTTAACTGAGTGACTGAGCCAGGGCAGGGCTTGATAATGGTGGCCCGATGGCCTGGGGCCAGTAAAACGTAATGTTGGGACAGTTGAACTAGCAACTTGCTGTGCAAAAACATTAGTATTTAAAATAAATAAAAAATTTAAACTCAACAACCTGCAGTTGTTTTGCAGCTCTTGGCGTGCACCGATGTCCAATGCAGAGTTGTTGTTACATGAGGAGAGGTTGTTATTTCTCTGATCTCAATCATGCGGCAACCTCTGGGTCGAAAGTGAAACTATGCAGACGGAAATTAAAGCTGCATTCTCTCTAACAGCCGGCAGGGGGCGAGTTCCATTAGAAATAATGATAAAATGTTGCTACTTCTCAGCTGATTTATTCCCTCAGTAAACACTTTTAAATGAGTTTATAGTCTCAGTCGCTAGTTTCAAGTCTTCTTCAACACAGCATGATGTTCATTTAGTATATTATGGTCCTATTTAGGGGAAAATGGACGATAATGCAGTGTATGCTTTTGGACGGGACTACCTTGTGATTGACAGGTCGCTGCCATGGCAACCTGTTCACCAGGATAGAGGACACTCGTGTCCGCTGCTGTACATTTTTCATAAATGGCTGTCAGTAGGAGAGTCTGTTAGTATGTTTTTGTTTTAAAAGTAAATTGTTTTGTTAACCTTATTTTTTTTTTATCATTTTAACTGTGATTTCATTTTTGTTTTTTATATCCAGAATGTATTTAATAAACGATTAAACACTTTCGTGAGAAGGTACAGTAAAAATTGGCTTCGGGCCAGTAGTTTCAAACCCGCTGGCCAAAAAAGTTTAATGTTTAGCCCTGCCTGCTGCCATTTATATTTATTTTATATCTTAGAATTTTATTGATACTATTTGGTTCTGTACTTTATCTATACTGTCGTTGTTTTTTTATTACTAAATAATTGCCTTTAAAAAAGAACACATTCAGAAAAGTTATCTAATTTTATATTTTATTATAACTAACTGTCAGAGCAGCAACAAAAGTAACAATATGAAATCAGTTTCACACTGGAAACAAATGGAACACAATAACAAGGTACGTAGCATCTCAGCTATACAGGCTACAGACAGATTTAGTTTGTTTCTAACTAGCTTTTAGCCGAGCTAGCACATGTACTTGTGTAAAACCAAAACACAGCTGCGGTGGAGCTTATTTAAAATATCACTTGGTGCACGTTCCTGCTCGTTGTACTGATGCAGTATCAGCCTTTTACTAGTACTGCTGTTTTTGCTGCACTTACTTCCAGTAACTGCGTAGTTATGGTGAACTTGTGTAAGCTACACTGCTAGCTCCGCTCGTGTCTGTGCCTGCGAAAACCTGGTGAGAGGGGAGAAGAGGGGCTGTAGCATGATGGCTCGCTCGTTCTATTGGCTACTGCTGCACAATAGTCTGTGTTGATAGGCTATTACTCGAGACTTGTAACCAATCAGCTAGTACTGTGGGTGGGACATTGTATCACCACTCTGTGGGCTCCAGCAGACAGAGAGAGGCGGCTGCATCAGAGCCAAAGGAGCACTTTTTTTTATTAATTAATTATAACCATGTCATACATATTGTTGTGTTGTGTCTGTAGGTTCAGTGCGGAGATCCATCCGTCTGAGTGCTGCTGTGCTGCACGAGGCCTCTCCCAGCTCAAACTATCTCTCACCTAGAAGGATCACTCGGCGATCTCTTGCAATGGCACAGACCCCCGTCCACACTCCTGCCCATCTTCGTCTTACCCTCATCCAAACCCCTGCACAAGCACCAAAGTCTCAGAATGGCACTCCTCATTCATCCCAGAACAGAAAGGACAATGTAAACGAGTCTCTTTGTTTTTCACCTGTAAAGGAAGTGCTTTCAGACAACACTCAGCCCGAGGGAAGCCCTGCACAGCAGTCAGAAACAGTCTCCCCACAGGGAAACGCTGTTCCTGAATGGAGCACACCCACACCTGGAAATTCACTTCCATCCATTTCTATAGTCGAGGAGCAAGATGAACCAGCTGAAGCCGTCGATGTTGACCTCCCTGTCTCGCCAAGACTTTCCCTTTCTCCACACAAAACCCCTATTCAAGCCTCCCCAGCCCCAGAGCCCTCATCTCGTCTGAGTTTCATGTTGTCACCATGTGTAACTCCCAGCCAGGCTGCCATCTCATTCCCTCTTGCTGTGCAGGGCCCAGTGGATGCCCAAGGGTCTGTGTGCCATACACCAGACAGCTCGGCTGTTGAGGTAAACACATTTTCAGGCGTCATGAGAGTCCTGTTTTTCAGCCTCATAGGATGTCATTAATTAAAAGCTGTGATCCAAACAGTTTTCTCTTGCCCACACAACAAACATGTTTTGTTGTAATTTCAGGAAATTCCTGGGTTGGACAAGCGTTACTTCCAGCCTTTACAGAGATGCAGCATGTCACCAAATGAAAAGGTTGCCATAGACACGCTCTCTCCTATGGCAGTGGATGTAGAAATGGAGAGTCCCAGAGGTCAATCTGAGGACCTGCTTGCTCAGGAAGAACCGGGTATGATTGATGCCTATAGGTACTGTGCATGCACACAATGAACACCTGTGCCCTGTTTCAGAAAGCAAGCTTAACAAACTCTGAGCTTATCCCTCAGCTCACAGTTGACTGAGCCTGAGGTGGGGAAACTCCTGAGTTTTCAGTTCCAGTAGGTTGGTTCGGTAGGTTCACAGCATCAGTTGCCAGAGTTACCGATCTAGGGTTTATCTGATCTCGCTCTCTGAAACAGAAAACCCAGAGTTTCCCTCATCTCAGGCTTAACATACTCACTAATTCTTCTGAAACAGGGCCTTGGGTTTTCTATCTTAGCAACGTTAGTGGATCTTAAAGCTGCAGTAAGCAAGGTTTCTAGATTAAAAATGAGCAAAACATAATTTTTATTGAAGGAATTTGAGTAATCGTTTTTGTTTTCTTGCATGCTGCAACTTTTAGAGACAGCTTTCTTCTGCCAGGTTTATTTTAAACTGATGTTACAAATTGCACTTTTTACTGTCTTTATTCACTGTTGCACTCACTTTTCACTCTCACCACAGCACTGCCAGCGGTGTCTTCGGTGTTAACTCTAAAGTCACCACAGGTCAAGGTTTTTCTCTTTTTTATTTGAAAAAACTTACAATTTTTTTCCCCAAATATTAAGTTTTAAATCCACATTGAACGATTAACTAGGTTCTTAACAGTTGCTTTCTTTTCTTTATCACAGCCTTATCATTACTGAATGGTCTATTTTTCTTTTGCATCGTTAGGCCCAGACAGCAGAGTCTGCCTTGCTTCTCTTCACTCCAGATCTGAAGGACCGGATCCGCCAGTCTGTCTGTCCAAGTGACCTTATGGTCTTCACCCCTCCCCTCTAATGTGTAGCAAAGAGATTTCCTTTTAAATTTTGTATTTTTATGTGTATTTTCTACTTTTATTACTCTCTTTGGGGGAAGAGGTATCTGACTGATTGTGATCATTTTTAGTTTAAATGGGAAAAAAAGTTTTGTCTAATTAAAGTTTTAGTTACTACAAGGTATTGACCTGCCCAGTACTCATTCATTCATTTATTTACATCAGATTACAAATTTGCAATGCACACAGTGCCTTTTGTTACTCACTGTATTTGAAAGCTCTAGGCATGTATATTTATTCATTTTTGACTGTATGGAAAGTTCAGGTACAGTTAGCTTCATCCTGTGTTCATCCGGTGGCTCTGCCGCCCACGTTACTGCATCTTTATCATTCACCAGCTTCCTGATGCCCCTTCAACCTGTAACACAATACAACACAACACTGAGCACTACACATGTCTATGGCACAATGAGTCGAGCTGCAATAAAGGTGGAGGGAAAGTAGTGGGCACCATCTGGTGGTTGTGTTTATGCTTAAGAAATGTGACGTGAATTCTGAATACAAACATTATAATCTTAATTGGTATTGGTTATGTTTATGCAATCAGGAAAAGCTTGAGATTTTTACGAAGAAGATACAAAGCAACTCATGTTCAGCTCCCACAAGAGTCAAATGTAGATTGTCAACCCATAATTGCATCTCAGATTTATTTTTTCCTCCCTATTTTTTTCGGTGAAAGTTGGTGCATAAAGATTTGAAGATTGTCTATAGGTGGAAACAAAATGAGTGTTGTACCTGATTAATTCTCACGAGTAATGATACAGTACATATAAACTACTACAATGAGCCAGTCATTGACTATGTAATACTGAAATCTTAGTTAGGATTTGCTAGAAGTGTACTACCTGGTCCTGCAGTGATGGTCTCTGAGCCTCCTGGTGGAGCTTTTCTTCCTTTATGTTTTTGGACACTAACTGGTTGTATTCAAAGGCCGGGAAGAAAAAGTGGGTGAAGAAGTGATGGATCGTCTGGATCCAAAGCTCCGATTTGTGCTCTTTGGCCTCCTTTCCTCCGGTTTGTGTGCCCTTTCCTTCACATCTGTGCTCTTGAGTGTGCCCTGGAAGAAGACTCGAAACTAAAAATGATTATTATTATTTTTAAGGGATTATGATTCTACTTAACAAACATCAGAAAGATGTGCATTTGCAATCCAAAATTTATATGCATGTGTGTAGACATCCTCTACATGGCTAGAAGCTTCTATATAGTCAGTGCAACTAATTGAATGTTCTTTCACTTCCTGGACATTTACAAGACTGCTAAAGTCCTTTTCCATGATTTATATACACATACACACGCTGTACAAGAACAGTACATACATATAATACATTATTTGAAAGAACCAGATAATTTAAACAAACCTGCAGACTGAGGTTTCACATTCTTTACATCTCGTTGACTATCCACATCCTGAGTAGTAGATGATTCTGCTGTGTCAAGGGATTTCCCTGTCTGTTATAAGATGTAAAAAAACAATTATATGTTACTAAAGATTTCAGCAACGTCACTTTGCCATGCTCACAGCATATTTCATTAATATCAACAGCAGGGGCTTGACAGTACGGATGTCAATACTGGACATTTGGATGTCTTTTAACTTTCTTAACAGATACTTATAACTCATGTTGGCTGTGAGATAATTGCAAAGGTCTGGTTGTTTTTTTTTGCAGAATTTCCAAGCTTTTCCTTATAGTATAAGTTTAGTAGTAACAGTATGCTGGAACAACTACACTCATCACATAGTGTGTCTGTAAGTTTCTCTCTGGCCTCCACCTCAGGTAGGTCCCTCCTGGCCTCAGCGTCAGGGCTGGACAGCAACTGGCCCTCCTCCTTGTGGCCTTCAGAAATTGGCTGACACTTCACCTCAGCAGACCCCACAAGTACCTCTAAAAACTCCAGGAACGTTATCTGCAGCAAAAAGAGTGGGATAACAACAAATAAGGGTAAGTCGATGAATGCTAATTTTTCAGTGGGCACTGAAAAATAATGACTGAGTCAACTGGTGTAAAGACTATACAAGACAGACCTCCAGATCCACACAGGAGGACAGACAGCTAGGGTCGCGGCTCTCTGCTGTGATGATCTTCAGTAATCTCGCTGCAGTCAGTTTATTATCCAGCAGATGGAGATCCTGGCAGGGATTACATAAACTAATCAACATATTGTTTTATCTCAAGCTGACAATGATATATTTACATGTACAGTATATGTTTGACATTAGTTTTAAATTGGTAGACTGTTTTTGCGATATGTTTCCTGGTGAGAGAGACCTGTGTAGATGAGAAGGACGCGAGTCATTTTTAAATGTATCAGATGGAATATTAAAAGGGTGTCATATGTACACTTCCAATTTAATGTTAATCTTGAACATCAGCCAAAAAAACAGTTAACCCCTTTGATGCAAGCTGAATGTGTGATAGTGTGATATTTCCAACTATTTAATGTATGATTGAATCGTTTCATCAAGTCATTTAAAATTGGGCACCCCTCTGATTATTTTGTAGCAACAAGCAACAGAAACGGCATCCATTTCTTATGTTAAGTGGGGAAAATAATAAAGAAGCGTGTAATGTGCACGTTCATGTTACAGTCTGTTGCACCTTGAACATCCACAGCAGCTGTCTGCAGGTCATGGTCTGGTCATCTCTTGGGGATGCCCTGACTTTGCAGAAAGCCTGATAGACTTCCCAGCACTTCTGTAAGTAGTTCACAACCACCACTGAACAGTCTGGCTGCCTAAACAGGAAGCCTGGATCAACACAGCTATAGTTAATGAGCACAGCTATTACTGGATTAATAAAGAGCAAAGAGTTTCTATAGGTGTCGTCTTATGCAAAAACAACAGACAAGCGAGAAACCTACAATGCACTCAATCTTAATAAATAAGTGGTTTTGCTATCCTAATTTCCCTGTTTGAGTCTTCTTATGCTTTAATAAATCAGTTTGAAGATTGCTTTGTCATCCAAAACATTTGTGTGCACATGAGCCTATAATATTTTACTGTTAGCACCTTTTACATTCTTAGAATTGGGAAGGATGTCGTCTGTCATCAGTTTGGAAAAGCAGGTAGCCAGAAGGTTCGTTTGTGACCTGTGAAAAGAGTCAACAAGTGATGTTTCTTAATTCAATTCAGGTATTCCCTTAAAAATGCTATTTTGATCTTAATATATAATTTCCTCCATAGCACAGAGAATAGCAGTTGACCAGGTATAATGTTTAACAACTTACCATAGCATTTTAGCATGCATTTAACATTTGCTAATCAGCACAGACTACAGCTGAGGCTCATTGGAATATCATTGTTAAAATTTGGGTCAGCCAACCCAATAGTTAAAAAAGAAAAATAGGGGCAGTACAATTCAACATTTGTAGTGTATATTATTTCACTCAAAACCACAAGAAACAACCTCATGGTGGTGCTAGAGAAAAAGTTTAATAAGAGCTACAAGCGTTTCATCTACTGGTGAATATCTGTTAGGAGTCATTCCTTACACCATGTCATTATGGTAGATGTGGTAGGCCAAAACCACTAGACAGCTGAGGAACCTACGAAGAAGCAGTGTAGTGAAAGGAGAGTGGATCTCTGCTGTAGTGGCGTCCTCTGAGACACACAGAGTAAAAACATTAAGCACAGTGTCCAAGCCTCCAAATGTACTGTAATTATGAGGCTTACGATGTCCTTTCCAGTATATGTGAGGTGGATTAATGTATGTAGGAGAGATTGTGAGGGCTAGTCCTTATCACCTCTGATAAAATGGTCTATCTGTGTCAGAGTGATGTGGTGATGGTGGATGTTACAGTCTTTGAGGAGGCGCCACAGCTGCAGGCGGGACAGCAGGAAGATGTTATCTGGGGAGGGGGCATTTCCAAGCCTGCTGTAGAAACTATAGACAGACCTCAGCTCTGAATATTGCCCCAGTACTGCAAAATCCACCTGTTACACATAAGCCACAGCATCAGGGCAGAAACAGGGCTGAAAATAAGGATGTGGGCAAAAGGTCACATGTTGACAATTTTACAGTGTGAAGTGAGACCTGACCTGTTTACGCTCAGTCTCACGATTTCTATCAGGGATTTTATCCAGAAGATGTTCAATGTTCAGAGTCACGTCTGGTGCTGAGATAGAGGATTCCCGACCTGACAGAGGAAATGCACCTGTAACAAGACACAAAATTCTACGCCACTGTACCTGATGATTTCCGAGTGTAACACTGTCACTTATCACCTTGATATGAAGCCAATATACTGTAGGTGTTTACCACACAGAGGAGTAGGAGCTCTACGTCCACTCAGGTTGTTTGTCATCATCTGATCATCCACAAACTGTCCTTCGAAAACATGCCCATCCTTGAAAGTGAATTTTCCCTGTGAACCATACAGCCACTCTTCCTTACATATGTGTGTATTGCAAGTGGGTTACTGAATCTGAGTCAAAAAAGTGTTAAAAGGTGTTTCCAAAGTTCCCCACAGAAAAATCCAAAGGGAAAAACACTACAAGCTCTTCAAGCATTTGCTACATCCAAGCAAGGAGTCTTCAATCTTTTTCCCTCTGGAGATTTGGGGTCAATTGTGTGAGGCAATATTGCATAATTTATTAACCTCCCCATGTTTTCTGTTGTTCCTCCATTCTCCTTCATAGATCGCACCACCAGCGTAGTAAAATGCTCCCTGTCCGTGCCTCTGACCCTGAACAAAATCCCCTATGTAGTGATTGCTCTGGAAATACTGGGACATATCCGCTCGCCTCAGGAGCCAGACGTGTGTGCCTTGTCCATGCTGCCAGAGAAGAGAACTCATGTGATTCACAACAAAAACATAAATCTGGTTTACCTTTTAAAGGAGGGTAAAAAGCTGTCCTGGAATTAGCACTATGTCTGACATAATAAAGGAACTGTGACATTTGGGCTCTGCTGCACAGGCTCTCTGGAAAAATGTGATGGATGTTTTATGTGTCAGTAATCTGGGAGAGGGCTAAGATGATACTACAGGATAACTTACTCTGTGTGTGCATGGTGTGCGGTCATACCTGGAGTCCATTCTGCCACATCCCATCATACTTCTGTCCCAGTTTTAGCCACCTCATCGTACCCTCTCCATGTCTAAGGTTGTTCTTCCACTCACCAGAGTAAATGTTACCAGACGGGTAGCTGTTAAGAAACTGATGTCACCTTTGAACGGTTCACATGTAACAGATTAGATCATATAGTCTCTACATACCGTCTCACTCCCCATCCCTCTCTGTTGTTCTTCACCCAATCGCCTTTGTACCAAGAGGTCTTTTCCTGGTTATAATACACTGTACCCTAACACAAAGACAACTAATTAAAAAAAAAAAAATGTAAAAAAAGAAGACTATACCTGATGTGAATTGGTGGATCATACCTTTCCGTGCCTCTTGCCCTGATCCCATTGGCCTCTGTATGAAACACCATTTGCACATTTGTAGGTTCCAGTCCCATGTCGTATACCATTGCACACTTCCCCCTGATAGGAGCTACCATCCGGCCAGGTGTAGGTGCCCTGGCCCATGGGAATGTTGCGCACAAATTGTCCCTGTTGGATTAAAAATTCAACTCAACTTTTTGGTGACAGCAGAACTCCTTATTTCATCATATTCTATTTTATTTCATCTCACTTAGTTTTGTATACAGGATGAATGTTTAGAAATGTTATGCACAGATTATTATTGTTATTGTTTATTATTTTTATTATTGGTAGTAGTATTGCATATTATTATTGTTGTCCTGGTGATGAACTATTTCCTGGGGTTTAATTATTTGCTTCAATGTCAAAATTAGATTAATCCATTTTCAGTAAGCTTATCAGTCGCTTTTACTGGACCCCCTCCAGGCTGTTTAGGCTTAAGCTTACGGACAAAGCTCTAAAGGGACTCTTTTTCACCTACTCTGGAAATGTTTCATGATTCAGTACTATGGCAAATGGTTCATAAACGTATAAAAATCACTACCCAGACCAATTTTGAGACTATGTTCTCAGTGATCCACAAATTACATCTCACTTTGGAGCCATGTACTTTATTCAGACCAGTATAATTATGGGAAAGCAAATTATAATGAGACCGGAGGAACCCAGCTGAGCCTCCTTTTCAGGAATGGTTCACAGAGTTGGCAAAAGTGGCATTATAGGAAAGAATTTCTTTCAGCTCTAAGGAGAGGACTGAGAAATATGTAGCGAAGTGGCGAGACTACTATGAATACCTTGTTTATGTGGACAGATCTTGAAGTAAAGCACTGCTCTACTATGTACATAATAGTCACATTCACATCCTTTTTGAGGATTAATCTGTTGTTTGTGGATTAGATTATGGTGCATATTAATATAGTAATATGACGTATGTCTTTTTTTGAAAATATATATCATTATTGTACCCTACCTCATATTTCAATCCGCCTGCCCTTGTAAAGACACCATGTCCATTCATAAGTCCCTTGGAAAACATGCCCTTCAGAAAAACAAAGCAGTAACTTTATTCTTACAAAACTGGAGCAAAGGACATTTACATACATTTCTGGTGTATTCTGGCAATTTTAGAACATATTTGTTGATGCATTTTAGAGTTATATCAAAATGTTTTTCTGTCTTTTTATTAAATAAGACTGATTGTGTTTAAAGAAATACATTAGAAACACAACTGTGTTTTCATTTAGTAAATAGACTAGTAATGTTAAATATCAGAAAGTAGCCTATGCATGTAAAATAAAATATATTGTCTTTCCCTATGGTTTGAAGATGTGGCGTTATATTTCCAACTCTACCTTGTACATATGTCCTCCTTCAAAACAAGCAGCTCCTTCCACAAGAAACCGGCCCTCACAGGTTTCCCCTTCATGTCTGTCAATGAGACACCAACTTTTACACTTCAGCTACAGCAAGTCACTGTGACGGCTCCGTGGAAATACATTCTCTAAAAATATTTAAAGTTATGAATGATTTACCTCTGTACAACTAAGCTAAGAAGTGTGGGGAGTTCATAAGAGCCATCATTGTCGGGCTGCTCAAGTCGGCCTTGGAGGTCCTCATCCGATAAAGTCTCCTTAAAACCGGCGGAGCAGCTCACTAACTTTCTTTTTTCGCTTACTTCCGCTGTATGCGGCAGCTCTGCGTTTCCGCACGTTTCCTCGTTTTCTATCATAGTTTTGTCCTTTTCTTTCCACCGGGTCAATTTGCACTGTTCACGAATCTAGTGCAAGTTAGGATCGGCTCCATGGTAACGGCAAAGGACGCTTACAACTACGGCAACCTTTATCAGTCAAAAAGGGCAAATCCGTGAACACACCATACAGTCTATGGTACACACCAGTGATTCAACAGATAACAGAAAGTGGCTAGACATGTTTCAATATATCGTGTTTATTTCCTCCAATAATGAGGTGTAAAAATACAAAAAAGATTATTTAGAGATGCAAAATACAAATAAAATCAGAACACAGCTAAACAGATTTAGAACATTTGAATCAGCATCTATAGTTTTGATTTAGTATTCTGTGTAGCAGCAAGGGTGATTTAACAAAAATAATGATAATGAGTGTTACGTAAGATTTTCCTTGACATGGTCAGTCCTGTGAGATGATGTCCAGGTTGGCAAGGTGTCTCATGGTGGGTCTGCCATGAGGACAGTTCCACGGATGCTCAATCTCCCCCATGTGAACCAGGAGCTTCTTCATCTCACTGACACTCAGAGCAGTGCCGACCATCACCTGACGATGGACAGGAGCAAAAAAACAGATAATGTGTCAGGATCATAGACTGTACATAAAAAGGTCAGGATAATTAACTCATGTTATTCAATTACTCTGACAAAACTGAAAAACCAAGTCCTATTTTGGCTCATCACAGTACATCAGATTATTACAAATCAAAAACACCTTCCATTAATACCAAAACAGGAAGTTTTAGATTTGTGGGTTTTTATTATTGGATCTCCCATGCAGCGTTTTTCTTCCATTAATTGTTGTACAGTATTACAATGAACTGGCAGAGGTTCAAAAGTTTCACAAATGTACATGTACTTATGATCTGTTTATTTTTAGTATTATCAGTATAAACTCACAGATTTTCTACAGGCTCGAGAGGCAAACATCTGCCTGACGCGGGATGGTCGACACATGACCCCTGGGCTGTCACTCAACATGAAGATCAGCTCTTCGATGTCGGATGGGCCAAATGTCCAGTTCTTACTGGTGGGCAGAGACACCAGCCTAACCCTCTCCATCACCTGAGCTGCAGTCACAATTAAAATAGTTGGTTTAGTATTTGTAATCCTAAAAGCAGGAAATAATTGATTTTGAACTTGAGATAAATTCAACAATCAACTCTATTTGACAGGTAAAATGTTCTTACCGTCCTCATCGACGAGAAATTCAAAGCCATTCTTTCTGAAAATCTCAATGTTCTCTATGAGTACATTTTCACTGACAGCAGTGAGGTGGAGCTTTTGAGGGCTGCAAACAGCAAACAAAAAACAACACAAAAATAGATCACTGACTAGTAAAAAAGGTAATTTTTTAAAAACACAAAGAAATATGTATGATCTGATTTAGATTCTTACACTATGAGTTTCTGTCCTTTGAGCACAGTGTGCTGCTGCAGCATCTCAAAGTTGTATTTCTCATCTGTGGCATGCTGGTCAATCATGAAAATGTCCGAGTTGAGTTTGGTGATAATGAAGCCCAGGTTAAACTGGCCGATGATCTCCATCTGTTTGAACATGTCTTTACTGTAGGGAAGACCATTTACCGTTACTGGAAAAAATTACACTCAAATATTGGCCAGTTAAGGAAGTTAAAGGAGGAAAATCATACTTGATCTCTTTCCTGAGCTCTTCCTCAGCACTTTGGTTTTCTCCAGGGTTAATCTTGGCCCTGAAACGTCGATAACGCAGATCCTCACTGGCCCCCTGTTTCCGCTGGTCCTGCAACCTCTTCACCTTCCCTGCCAGCTCTTGTAGAGAAAACTGGAGAGGCACCGTCCTCCTCTGCAGGCAGACTGCAGCGTCCACCGTCAAGGAGGATTTCTCAAAACAGTTTGAAAAAGTGTTGGATTTGTGTTCTGTAGGGAAACGTAGTTTCTCTGTCCTGGCCCTCTTGGCATCTGGGCTCAGAGTACAGTCCTGATTGGAAGAGCATGGCTCAGTCTGTAACTCTGGGTCCTCTGGAACAATGTGACTATTGTCTGATGTTTCTTCAAGTGTTTCATTTTTTACACTGGAGCTGTCAACAACCGGTTCAGCAGAACACTGAATATCTGGGGTTGCCAAGTCAGAAGTGGACACAGCACTGTCTTTTTCAGAGTCTGTTTCACTGCATAACGTCTTTCCGTACCTGAACCCATCAAGCACAGACTTTCCCACAGGGGAGCATTGAGCTAGATCTCTTGTGAGTTTCATAGGAGATTTTGCACTTGGGCTGCAGGTAGGAGTTTTGACAGTGCCCTTAAAAAAAGACTGCAGTGTTTTCTGTGTTGGGCCACGGTTTTCAGCTTTTGCCGTACTTGACTTGTTCCCAGAATTGGAGCTGTGATGACTTGAAAAAGCCACCTTTAGGTCGGCCAGGTTTACGGACGACTTTGGGCTCTGAGTCAGTGGTTCCATGTCCTCTCCAGGTTCTGGCATGTTCTCATTAGACGGGACAACCTGAAATATTTCTGATGCAGACGTTGTTTCTGTTTTTAGAGACAAGTGTCAGAAAAACAGTCAAAATGATTCTCTCAGTGATATTACTCTGCTATAATATCAATAAATACATCTTATGATCTGTTCTTACTGGTGCCGGGTATGGACATGTAGTTCAGGCTGATCTTATTGACTTCAACCTCATACATGTTGATGAGAGAGGTCTTTAGAATAGCCAGCAAGAGTTTCTCCTCCTGAAGGAAAATCTGACGTTTGTCTGGCGTTACGTTCACATCCACACACTCTGAAACACCACAAAAACGCTCATGTAGTACAGAAAGTCAGCAAGCAGTGTGGGTTTCACAAAGGAAATTTTCTTACCAGAGGCAACAGCTATATTCAAGGCAACAAATGGATATTGATGTCTGTTGTACATATGATACACTTCATTCACAAGTTTGGCCACCTGCAAATTAGGAATAACCAGAGATTAGGCTAGAAATCCTCACTGGTAATAACCTTTAATTAATCCCCCTATTTAGCATTAATTATTAGCATATAAACATTTAAAAAATGGTTTAGGACACACTATAATGTTGGTGAAAGAAGATATAAGTGTTTATTAATATATCTATCAACAACTATAACTCCTCCTGTGGGCTACCAAGTGGAGGCTGGTGTTTAAATGCATAATGAAGGACAATTACAGCAAAACATGGTTATAATAATATGGGATATAATATTCATGGGAGAAGTTTGGCCAATACTGTAGATCAATAAATCATATATCTGCTTACAACTAGATTAGAGTGTGTTATAAGCAATTATTAAATGTTTGTATATTTTTATAAATGCTAAATAGGGAGACTTAAACTTTAATGAATTACCTTAAGGGGATCACATGGCCGGTTGTTAATGAAAAAGAACTGCCTGTCTGTGGCACTTCTCCCAACACCGTGGTCTCCTCGTGACACAAACCCTGTGATGCTGCCAAGACAGATATTTACATTTCTTCTTTTCTTTTTTAAATACCTGCTGAGTTTGCAGTGAAGGCATACACAGTACTTCTATGTAGTGGTGTCACTCACGTAAAAAGCTGTTTGGGTAGATCTGCATCTTTGAGGCCATATTCTTCAATAACATTTTCTGTGGGGGACACTTGCTGAAAAGGCAGAAGACTCTGTAGCTGCAGAACACACAACAGACATTGAAATGTAATATTTAGCAAACCAAATAATAATAATTTGACAGAACAATTGGCATATTTAACTTCAACTGAGGAATTACAGTTCCTCTAGGGTTGGGGAAATTCTTCCACTGTTGGATTTCGACTTAAATACGAATTAAACTTATTAAATAAACTCAACAATGAAGATCAAGGAGGAAGACATGTTTCCTTCAGTTACAGATAACATCTTGGAGAATTGAGATCCACAGCAGTGATATGGTCACCTTCTGTAGACAACACAAAACAGTATAGTCAAGTAAAATGTGTAACAATGTTCCAACCTGTTTTGGTCCATATATGGCCCCTATGTTGTCTCTCATACACTGGCTGCCACTGGTGCTGAGTACTGTGCTGCGCTTTCCCTGCCCATTTTGGTTGGAGCAGGTAATACGCACTCCTGTAGAGATGATACAGTAGGACTGCAGGACATGTATCATTTTGGCATACTCCTGAAAATACAGAAAGATTAAATATTTGAGATTGAAGGACAATGACAGGTCCTTTAATTAGACTCTGATTGGCTCTAAACTAATCAATTCAAAAGATATGCATTACAAATTATATTATGTTCTGAGAAATAGGTTTTACATAAGATTTAGTAATTATTTATGTTAGGTTAAATATGTTACACATTTCTGTACGAGCATTCACAGTGGTGGATTTGTATGTTCTTGTCCCTTTGTACTGTGTTGCATTTCTGCTGACCATTTCCCACTGATTACTGAGTTTTTCCTATTGTCCTGGTATTCACAGGGTTCCAAGTGAATGATCGTTCATACTGAACATTTGTATTGAGACATAATACTGTTATAATACATTTGAAAGCATAGCTTGCTATCAAAGTCTTCAAGGTGGTGTGTTCATGAGCAGATGGGAAGCTTGATGCTGTCCTACATTTACATTCACCAAGGACATTTACAACCTATACTGTCAGAAAATCTAACTTTTAGAGCTCAAGTGATATAGGATTTTTAAGACCGATTCCCATTTTGATAGCTGAGGATTATAAAATCTGATATTTTTTCCCCCTTCTTTTCAGAAACACATAACATAAACTATGATTATTCCTAACAGTTATGAGACCTCATCAAAATAACATGCAGTTTAAAAATAAATTTTTTATTGTTATAAATAGTACTTTGAACAAATTAATGTGCAGTTTTGTGGTGATTTGGTTCCAGTGTGTTGCCAACAGGTATAGAGTGCCCTCTGGTGGACAAACTATGCAACGACAACACTCGTTACATGACTGAAGGAAACATACATAATACTGATCCTTCGATGACTGACCTTCTTAATATTGCGCTGGAACTCCTTGTGTCGAACAGGCAGCGTGTAGAAGAGCTGCTGCAGGCTGACTGTGGAGCCCTGCTGCCGGGGATGGGGTGACTGCTGCACTAGGTGACCTTTGTGGTCAAACACCAGCTTGGTCCCCACCTGGCAGGACTCATGGCATGTCACCACGCTCAGGTTACTGGCGAAGGGGGATGGAGGGAACTTTGGCTCATAGAAGTGACAGTAATATAAATGTATGTGCTGAATACATGTGGCTGTTGAAGTGTTTTACCTCAGAGCACATAATGAGCTGAGGGCTTCACCTCTGAAGCCAAATGTTTCCACATGGATGAGATCGGCGAAATCCCTTAGCTTTGACGTGTGATGTTTCAATGCTGTGAAACAGATGGAAGATGTTTCACTTAACCAAAAAGATTAGGTAGACTTTGACTAACAGGGTGGAGATTAAAAAAAGCTGACACGTACTCAGTCCTTCAAAGTTGGCCTCTTCTACCCCTTTGCCATTGTCTGACACTTCCACTAGTTCAGCTCCACACTCCTTCAGTCGGACATCTGGAACATGCAACAATGTGGTACTGAACTTAACAATGACAACCATTTATAGCAATCTTGTTTTCTTCAAATCATACTACGCAGTTGAATCCTTCACAGTACAGTGAGACCTTTGCTACAGTGGGCTTCTGTTCAAGTTTCAATTGTCATTTGGATTTTAAGCTAAACCAATATATCTCCTAATATACTGGACTGTAAAACTTGACATTGTGTCATTTGTCAACAAATACAGTACGATTATTTTGTCAGCATTCACAACTGTAGCTCTCATGTGTGACAGGGGGGCTATCAAAACCTCATCTGTAAACAGTAAAAAAAATGTGAGATACTGTGAGATACTCAACGCCTACCAATGTTGGTGGCCCCTGCATCAATGCTGTTTTCCACCAGCTCTTTGACAGCAGTGGCCAATGTCAGCACCACCTGTCCTGAGCAGATCTGATGCACTGAGTGCTTGTCAATGGCCTTGATGGCTCCGGCAGGTTCACAGCTGCAGAGAAGAAAAGCAGTACTCAGTGACCGTATAACTTCACCTTCTGCTAAAGATATATTGCAGTGACACATGTATATATGCACAGCTAGCTTGGGGGGGGGGAATCAAAGGTGTTATAGGCTCTTTAAACACAGTCTCAAACACAGGAGCACTTTCAGTGCAAGACTCATTCCCCCAAAATGCACCACAGAGCGCCACAGGAAGTCATTCCTGCCTGTGGCCATCAAACTTTATAACTCCTCCCTTTAAGTGTCTGACACTTAGTCAGTTATTAAACTAGACCTCATCACCTATTTTCTGTCCAATGTTACCTGTTTAATAATTAATGTGCAATATTCTCTGCTGCTATTTATTCACTTGTCCTTTTCGGTTCACCATAATAATTCTTAATAATTTAAATATTGTACATAGCCACACACCTTTATATTTGTCTTTATTTTTTATATTTATACTATTATATTTATATACTCTTTATCTATTTACCTTTGACAAGTGCAACTGTGACAAAAGAATTTCCCCTCGGGGATCAATAAAGTATTTCTGATTTCTGATTAAACCCTGGGTTCTCTCATCCATGAAGAATACATGAGGATTATGAGGTGACTTACTTATAAAGTTTGTAATAAATGTTGAACATTGTAGATTTGGATGATGTAAATACAATTTCTGTACGAGCATTCACAGTGGTGGATTTGTATGTTCTTGTCCCTTTGTACTGTGTTGCATTTCTGCTGACCATTTCCCACTGATTACTGAGTTTTTCCTATTGTCCTGGTATTCACAGGGTTCCAAGTGAATGATCGTTCATACTGAACATTTGTATTGAGACATAATACTGTTATAATACATTTGAAAGCATGGCTTGCTATCAAAGTCTTCAAGGTGGTGTGTTCATGAGCAGACGGGAAGCTTGATGCTGTCCTACATTTACATTCACCAAGGACATTTACAACCTATACTGTCAGAAAATCTAACTTTTAGAGCTCAAGTGATATAGGATTTTTAAGACCGATTCTCATTTTGATAGCTGAGGATTATAAAATCTGATATTTTTTCCCCCTTCTTTTCAGAAACACATAATATAAACTATGATTATTCCTAACAGTTATGAGACCTCATCAAAATAACATGACATAATGCAGTTTAAAAATAAAATTTAAAATTTAGACCTCATCACCTATTTTCTGTCCAATATTACCTGTTTAATAATTAATGTGCAATATTCTCTGCTGCTATTTATTCACTTTTCGGTTCACCATAATAATTCTTAATAATGTAAATATTGTACATAGCCACACACCTTTATATTATATAATGTGACTTACTTATAAAGTTTGTAATAAATGCTGAACATTGTAGATTTGGATGATGTAAAAACAAAACCAAATACAGGCAAGTAAAATAAAGATATAGTCTATGGATATAACGTTAACATTACTCTGATAACTTAGCTAACGTTACTTACCAAGCATCAGACATCTTGAAAGAGTGACAAGCTTCACGAGGAAGTCACTTGTGTCCTGACATTTTGATATGTGACTGGGAAGAGACACCTGCTAATTACTCGCCATTGTCAAATGCAGGTAGTTTGCTTTAACTAACTGTTAGCGATAACATATCATTGAAACCGTTTCACGACAGCATGTTGTAAACACAAAAGTGAAACGGACCGCGCGGACTGCGCACATTGTTCGCGAGCGTCACCTGTGCGCATAACTGCGCAGTTTGAGTAATACATTTAAAATGTTGAGTATGTAAAACAGCAACCTCACATAACAAACACAAACCACAACAGTGATAACAATGTCAAACAAATTACACCACGGTAAATAACTACGCATTATCGAAACTTTGCCTCAAACTTTTAGGCATTTCATCATCAAAACGGAATCCTTGACGTATTGGGATGTTAGGGCGCGTGTGCAATTAACCTCGTATTGTAAAAAACGAATAAATTGATTTTTGTTATAGAGTTCAATGTTATGAAGCTGTACTATTGTATTTATACTACCTATACTCATCTGAATTTTAAAGTGTAATTTTGAGTAAAACCTTTTTATATCAGTTAATCCTGTTGTAAGTCATTGTCACGTTAATTTTCAGACGGTCCCTACACGAGTTACTACTGCCTTGAATCATGGCCGTCGACTGACTGTACCCCGACCATATGGGACTCGCTAGAGAAAGCTCTCACTCTGCTGATACATATACGATGTAAACGTTTGGGAAGCTAGAATTTAACGAGTAGTTTGGGTGCGCCTTGATGCAGATATGAGGTAGCTGTTGTGAATTGGGCAGCGTTTTAAAGTAAGTTACTTAGTTTTGTCAAGTCATAATTTTTTTTACATACAAAAATGTACGGTTTAACATCCAACAGCGGACTCTTGCGGTCGGAGGAAAGTTCTGGAAGCAGCAGAGCCCTCTTGGTCCACCGCAACATTAAACCCATCAGGACACATGAGGTTGAGAGTAACTTTAGCCTGTTAAGTTTGGCAAGTGAAGAGGACGATGAAGTCCAGTTTGACAGTAAGCAGCTTTTCTTCTTGTGCTACACATGCTGGCTAGTGTTCCGTTAATTTACTGTGTGCTCAGCCGTATTAAGTAAACATTAGTGGCGGTTATCCCACATTACTTAACACACTGACCCCAGAATGAGAAGTCTAATCTGTTGAGTTGCTTTATTGCTTTTTTTTTTTTTTAAAGTGGCAGGGGCGTAGTTAAGTATTTATAGGCCATGTGAATACAACGTGACTGAGCCGTCCTTCCCCCTCCTCCTCAAGCTGTAGGGTTGTGATGCAGTCCATTTGACATGGAAAGTCGGCATTTACAAGTTCAAAGTCGGAAATTTCAAAGGGAACGCCCCTTTAAGTCTGAGAACCTAATGCTGCATTCCATTTACCTCGGAAGTCGGAGGTTGTAACTGGGAATGACCTCACACCCGAGTTGATGGCGTTCCAGTTAACACATCGGAAAACCTCGCTCGGCCAGCCATTGTTTAGAATAGCCAGGTTAGCTACTGATTCGCCGTTTGATTAAAAAAAATCATTGTAAGGTATTTACTCATACTAAACACTGTAGCGAAACGTCCGCAGACAGCAGTTGGACAGCACTTTTTGTACGAACATTTCTATGAGTCACAAGTATACAGAAGTGCTAATAAACAGTAACAACAGCTTTCACTAACTGTTGATAGCCATCTTGGATCACGAAGTCGGGGCAGTGCGGTTCTCCTGAGGGGGGAGTATTCTCTTTGAAATTTTGATTTCGTGAAATTCCGACTTCCCATGTCAAATGGAACGCACCATCACTGCCCCGATTTCGTCATCCAAGATGGCTGCTCTGAGTATAAACTCGATAACTGGAACGGCGTCAACTCGGAGGTGACGTCCGACTTCTGAGATAAATGGAACGCACCATTGAGTCCACCCTGCCATAGAGCTCAACAGTAACTGCCCACTTTTTTCACGGGTCTGGTTCCAGGAGTAAATTCACTTGACCCATTGGCTTTTCCAAAAATCCTTATTTAAGGAGTTTTAAGCCATGAACCAATCCAACCAACCACTATATAAATCATGATCATAAAATATTTGAATCAGAGCAATTAACAAAAAAAAAAACGAAAAATGGGGGAAAAGGCAAAGGGACAAGACTGTACATAATTTTTTCATAAACCATTGCGATGTATACTTTTTCCAAGGACTTTCAACTTAACGATAGTTTAGCACGCTTCTTCTTGAATTGAATCCTTCTCATAGTGTTTATATTGTTGATATTTTGTAGTTTGTGTTGTCATTGAAATGGTACAGTGCTTTATTCCGGACTCCAATCACCACTCAGGTGTCAAGGAGCGTATCACAGTCTCATAGCTGGTGGTGAGTCATCGGATGGTCGTGAAATTATGGCTCATAATCAAAATCCCGATGCAGAATATGAATGGGATTTTTACTTCCGGAACCTCACTGTTGAGCTCTACTAGAGGGTGACAGCTTCTGTCTTCCAATTCTTCTTATGCTATGGAGTTTAATGGCGGTTAGCATGTTGCAAGAAGGTGCCAACCCATTTCTTAAAATCAATCTTAAAGCAGACAGGAAGCCAGTGGACTAAGGCTAAAACTGGGGTTACGCTTTTTACTTCCAGTTTTTTTGTTATCTTGACCAACCGCACATCTCGCAGTTTTTATCCCACATACTTAGCGACCTCGTGTTGATCTTTGAAAATCCCATCTGTTTGTGTCACCCCGACTCGATACGCCTCGTCTGGCCTTTTCATCTGGCTGTCATCACTTGAAACACTGCCCTTCTTCCTTTTCTCATTCATAAATCCTCTCTTATCTGCTTCTGTCTCTCATACTGTCTGACACTTCCTGTCCTATTCCCTTTCCCACAAAAATACTCCTGTCCTGTCAAAACCCCATGATAAAGTAAAAAAAGGATTCCTGTCTCGTCCCAATCCCAGAAGAATGACCAGTGCCATTCAAATCAGGAAGGGGATGGACCAAAGCGTCCATTAATGAAGCATTGCATATCATTCCACAGAGAAGAGCTATGTGAACAGCTATAGAATAAATGGTCCAACGTTTCTATTTCCAGAGAGCAGAAGGAGCATTTTTCGTCTACAGAAGGGATAAATTTCTAAATAATCTCGTTACAGGGGTAACAATGGTGAAGAATTTTAAATGATATTTCTTTAACTTTATTTGTAATTAAAGATTGATGTGGGTTACTCCATGCTCTATTCCAATTAATATTTTCATACCGGGGGGTCCATTTGTACCTGCATGCAGGGATAGATTTTGCACATAAAAGGTTCTTAATTACTTTGTTGTTGACTTTTCTGTCTAGAAAAGATAGACCATTTATTGAAACACTACATGAGAAAAATACATTCATTTGATCCAAATCTTTCTCATCTCTAAGTAGGGTGATGATCCCATGGGGTATATCTCTGGTTACAACGTCAAATTCTTTTCTTGGATGATGGAAGTTAAATTTATGAGTGAAGTCTTCATTTGTTGAAATTTGAGTTATTTAACAGTTGGGCTACGAGTACAATGCCATGTTTAAACCAGTTTTGTATAAAGAGAGTCTTGTTTCTATGTCTGATGTTCCTGTTGTTCCAGATAAAAAATTTGTAAGGGGAGAAATTGTGTTTGTATAAAAGTGACCAACAAGTTAGAGCCTGTTTATGGAAGTTTGACAGTTTGATTGGCAGTCTGTTGATGGAGTATGGGCACTGAAGCAAGAATGTGATTTTACCAAGTTTTTCAAAGATAAAAGTTTGTGACAATGTTCCACAAACTGTTTGGATTTTTCAAAAATCTTTTAAACCAGTTGATTTTCAATATCTCATTTAAAAGTGAGAAGTCAATTACCGATAAAACCCCTTCCTCAATTTTATTGGTCAAGATGTTTTTTCTGATTTTATGGGGCTTCTCCCTCCATATAAAGTTATATAATAGTTTGTCTAGATTGGCACATTGTAATTTAGTTATTTTTATAGATGTAAATAAATATGCTGCTCGTGAGAGACCTTCTGCTTTAGAAAGAAGAACCCTGCCATATGTAGATATATCTCTTGTAAGCCAAGAATCAAACTTTTTATTAATAGAGTCGTACAGTCATTAACTTGTGATTATGACTGATTTTTACTCCAAGATAGGTTACTAAATTCTTTATATTTATCCCACATATTTGACCCGAGTGCTTATTTTTAAGAGAAAACAGCTCACATTTTGATAGATTTAGATTCAAACCTGAGCTTTCAGAGAATTTGTTCACAACCTTTAGTGCACTTCCTATTTGGGATTCATTTTTTAGAAACAGGGTTGTGTCGTCAGCCAGCTGTGATATTTTTATTTCTCTTTCGTTTAATGTAATTCCTTTGAATGAACTCTTGTGAATTAGGTCACAAAGAATTTGGGCTACAATCAAAAATAGAAGAGGAGATGTGGGGCAGCCTTGGCGGTTACCTTTCTTTATGTAAAATCTAGGTGAGGTTCCATTCGCCAATTTAATACAACTGTTTCCTCCCATGTACAGAGTTTTCACAGCATTAATAAAATTCTGATCAAAATTAAAAAACTTTAAGGTGTCAATAATAAATTTGTGGCTTACCGTGTCAAAAGCTTTTTGAAAGTCTAAGAATAAGATAAGGTGTTCATCATCTAGAAAGTCTTTGTATTCTATCAGATCCAGAACTAAGCGAATGTTATTGGCTATGTGACGGTCTTTCATGAAACCAGATTGGCATTCATCAATTAAAGTGTGTAATTTAGATTTGAGATGTTTTGCTAAGATAGATGCTAGAATCTTATAGTCATTATTTAGCAATGTAATGGGTCGCCAATTTTCAATTAATAGAGAGTCTTTGTGAGGTTTTGGAATAAGTGTTATGACGCCTTGCCTCAGAGAGGGAGGAAGTTCCCCTCTGTCAAGAGATTCTTTGAAGACAGCCAGAAGAAATTTACCTAATGACTCAGAGAAACATTTGTACATCTCAGAAGTCAGGCCATCACAGCCTGGTGATTTATTGTTCTTTAACTGAGTTATTCCCCAATTAATCTCCTCAATAGTTATGTCCTGACAGCAGATTTTATTATATTCTTCATCCACACAGTTAGGTGAGTTAATAAGGTTAAAGATTTCATTTGGATCTTTGAGATTATTATCTTTTGAGTAAAGTTGTTCATAGAAAGCACATATATAGTTTGATATTTCTTTACTGTCCTCACTAATCTTTTCCCCAATGTTAAGTTTTCTTATAGCATTGATTTCTTGTCTTCTTTTTTCCATGGTAAAGAAATATCTGCTGTTTTTCTCTCCCTGTTCCATCCAATTCCTACGTGACCTTATAAAAGCTCCTTTTGCTTTGTCTAGTTGATTTTGTAAGTCTAATAAGGCATTATTATCTTCTTGGCTCAGCTGTTCTTTTTCAGTATAATTTTCATTTTTAGTTCCTCATGAGATAGTAGAGAATTATTTAATTTCCAGTAACTGCTAGAGAGCCTCCCTCTTTGTTCCTTGCTGACTTGAATAGATAAAGAGATGGCCTTATGGTCTGTCAGAACAGCAGGGGAAACAGTGCATGACTCAACGGAGGGCTCTAACTCAGCCAAAATAAACCAGAAATCTATTCTGGACTGTAGGGTATGGTTTCTGTTGCTCCAAGTGTATGTTTTCAACAATGAATGTTTTTCCCTCCATATATCAGTGAGATCCAGTCTTTTTGTAAAGTCAATTAGTTTTTTTGAGTTTGGAGCTGGTTTTGGCGGGCACCTGTCTAATTGGTTATCCATAACCATATTAAAGTCACCGCCCAAAATGACCTTAGCTACAGGATATTTAGACATCAACTCATTTAAAACCGAGTCCAGCTCCTCCAATAGTTTCGAATTTTGAGAGAGTGAGCAGTACCCATAGATGTTGCCTAAAATAAAAAATGCATCTTCCAAACAGGTAATAGTAACAATCCAGTGACCATTGGTATCCCTAATGGTATTAACAACCTTTCCTTTAAATTTATGAGGGAGAATAGCAACCCCTGCTGAGTCGTTGGATCCGTGAGTCAACCAGATGTCCTCTCCCCATTGACTCTTTCATAACTTTTCGTCCTCTTTACATGAGTGAGTCTCTTGGATGAAAATAATATCAGCATCGTAGTCCTTACAAAAAATGAAGATGGCTTTTCTTTTAACAATGTTTCGTAGTCCTCTGGCATTATATCAAATAAAGATATTTCTACATATTTGGACAGTTCAATCCTGTTCTCTATTGCATGAAGAGAAACTGGTTAAAGGCCTCTAACACTGTCTAATTTTAGACACAAACTACCCTACACACACAACAACATTTGTGGATGACAAGACAGCAGTGTAATGAAACAGAGTGCAATGGATGCTGGTATAAATATATTTGTGCAGGTATATATGTATACCTGAGGTAGGTGGATATGATACAGAGATTACATACAATATGAACAGCTATTTTATTACAACTTTGATGAATAAATAGTAAACAGTATACAGAATACATATACAGAAAAATACCACAATAAGACCTAATATTTTTTTATATGCATAATATATGTCCAACCCTAATCAAGAAGCTTAAAAGGATACTCCAGCAATTTGATATTGCAAATTTATAAAGCAGGGGTACCTGTGCCAGACAGCTTAAAAGAATGTTCAAAATCGAAGCAATGGATACCAGGATATCCAGACTCTTCAACGTCAGTGGATTTTTAAACCTTTCTCATAATGCAACTTAATAGCACCTTTCATTAGACCCTCCCTTCCTGTTACATGCAGCCATCTTTCAAAATAGTTTATAACACAGATTTAGTGTCAATGTTTGAAAACTCAAGCCAACCTCAGTTATTTTCTCAGACTTTAGCAAGCTCCCTTCCAGAGCCTCAGAAGACTTATGTTTTCACCGGCTGAGTGGTAATCTCCATGACAAGTAAATGACAAGGTGGAGTGATCCTTTACCTCTTACCGTGTACTAATAGGTTTGCATGGGTCTTTTGACATCACTGGTAAGTCAAATCTTAGTCCACCAATAAATTTGTATTCGAAAACAAGTCAAGACCTGTCATTTCACACCCTACAGTTTGATGAAATGAGAGTGTCAGGCAACTTTTGAAACAGCCTCTTCTTTACATTCTGGCACAGTGACCAAGTGTCTCCGCTTGGTCATGTGTTTATAGCAGACATTCAGAGGAGGAGGCTGGTGTCCGCTGGAATAGGCAGATAAGCGTTACTGCTGTACACGCCCCCTCATGTATAAAGAAGATGAGCCCATTTTTTGCCTTGGAGGTGAACAGGATAATCATTAGTACCGCTCTGAGTGCTTAGTATTGGACCAAAAGTGTTTTAATACAGAAAAATGGACCTAGGAGACAAAAACATTGTTGAAATGATAGCAAGAGTAATTGAAGAAGGTAGGACTGTAGAGAAGAAATACTGTGGTTATATGTGTATTTGATTTTAGTGGGATTACAACAATGTCAAATATAAACTGTTGTTTTGTGCCACAACCTCCAGTTCTCAATTTCCTTTGGAGGTGGTGTTTCTTTGTAAAAATGATGCAAGAGTCATGCCCAAACAGTGAGTTCTTGCATTTTAATGTATTACTGTTTCTGCTTATTTTATTTTATTTTATTTTTTATTTCATATGCTCAGCTTCCGACATAGACAATAACCATGAGGTGTTGATGGCTGGTAAACATTACCCGTCCATCCATGAGTTCGCCTCAGCAATCCCCAACCACCTTCTCTTGGGCTCTCTACTAGAGCACCTGTGCTTCGTCTACGAGAGCAATCCAACACGCTCGCGTATGCTTTTTAAAGGTATGTAATGAGATGTTGTTTAGAAATTGTAAATATATGTTTATCATTATGATTGTCATTAATTTCAAATTGTCCCTCTGATAGTTATTGGCCAGCGTTTAGCCGCCATGAACCTCCTCTCACCTTTAGCCATAAGTGATGAGTTTAGCACCGTCAGACTCCAGCACAATCGGGCCTTCACTGAGCTGCTTCATGCTGCCAGCTCCTCGCTGTACCCACAGGTAACTGGACAAATCACCAGTAGGTGTCTTTGTAGTAGTTGGTATGTTGTCAGTTTTGATGTTGGGACTAGTTAAACTTTTTTAATGAATTATGTTAAGTGAGTATTTGCACTTGGTATACAGTAATAGACGTTGTCAATAAGAGTATTGATCAAAGCAGCAAACGCAGCTTACGGTTTTGTTAACAGAGAAGTGCTTCAACAGGTTACTAACTGATACAATATAGTGTGGTAACTGTCTTCATCTCATTTTTCAGGGCCAACAACTTCTCGGCACAAACACACACAATCCTGCTGTAAGGTAGGTTGAGTAGTTTATGATGTTGAGTTGCTTCAAAGATATCGTGTATATGTAAGTGTTGTATAAGAGATGTTTGTTTTTGGATTCGCACAGACCTAAGGAGGGACTTTTTCAAGCGCAGACGTCCCGGTATCTTAGTGAATTTGAAGAATTATGTCGACTTGGAAAAGGATCATATGGAAATGTTTTTAAGGTATTTTACTCCCTCATATTATTTTTTAACTTCTCTGAAGACAAACACAAGTTGAGTTGATCAACACAATGATGTTATCTTTGGCATTATCTTGTAGGTTATTAACAAACTGGATGGACAACATTATGCTGTGAAGAAGATTCTCATCAAAAAAGTGTCAAAGGATGACTGCATGAAGGTTGGTCCGTCAGTGTTTTATGAAAATTTTTATGCCCAAATGCAGATATATAATAGACTAATAATTACATAATTCTATTTTGCTTTAGGTACTCAGGGAAGTGAAAGTGTTGTCCAGCCTGCAGCATATTAATGTTGTGGGCTATCACACTGCGTGGATGGAACATGTTCAGCCTGCTGCATGTGAGTAGTTTAGTGAACAACAACACTGACTCTTCCTATCTTAACACGAGCTTTATGTGAAAAACGTCTTTGTTGCAGATCCTGAATCTCTCCTGCCTGCACTGGAATCACCTGGACAACAAGACAGGTAGGATCCAGCGTCAACTGATCTTATTAATTGTTATGGATATTTTTCATTGTATTTTCTTTTCATTGTACAATACAAATGATCATAGCATATTAATTGATAATGGAATTAATCAAAGGTGCTGCCATAGTATTATTTATTATGTTATTTATAAGGCTTATTGATACTTAACATTTTTACCTTCTGGTGGACTACTTGTATAAGGAAATAGCTTTAAAAGTTGGTAGGGTTACAAATTTTTGCTAAGAATGTATTATTAATACTATTATTTTTTGACAGGTAAAAAAAATCAAATACTATTTACACTATAGTATTTATCTCAGCTAATACTCATCATTTAATCTATCTTGACTCCTTCATTCCCAGTTCTTGTGACAGCCATGACGGCAGCAGCAGCAGCTCCTCGATTGTTTTCCAGAGCCTCAGTCAAGTACAGACAGATGCTGCTTCAAGTGCCAAAGTACCCCTAAGAGAGACCCAGCCCATCAAAGCTTTAGTTCCAACCCAAGAGAAGGACCAGGTGGTGTGTCCCAAGATGATGCATCGGATTCCCAAGAACTACATCCCCTGTGTGTTCCTGGGACAGCAAGGTCCCATGAAGAGCTCCAAATGTCCTGCCATGGGTTGGGAGAGTTCAGAACGGTCAGAGGAGGAGTCCAGCAGGAGTAGCATCGAACTGAACAACAACTCCTGCATCAACAGAGAATATCAGCCGTGGGCTGACAAACATACAGTAAAGCCTTCTAAAGAGGTAGTTGCTTAAAGAGGCTTTCAGTGATCAAACAAATGATTAGAAATATTCTGTTTTATAGCTTACTGAAAGTAAATCATGTGTTTTTTAAAATGTACACTTAGAAACAACGCAAGAATTTCAGTTATGTTTCGGCTGTATCGGCAGGTACACTTCCACCTGATGCTCTATATCCAGATGCAGCTGTGTGAGCGCTCACTAAAGGACTGGATCTCTGACAGGAACACCAAGCAGAGAGAAGAACAGACCTTAAGATGTAATTGTTGTTGTCATTTATTTCACACCTGTTCTGAGTTATAAAAGTATACTTGTGGTAAATAAATATATTTTTGTATTTTCAGGCCCTTATGGATGTGTTGATCCTGAACGCACACTCGGCCTGCTGAGAAAGATACTTGAAGGAGTAGCGTATATTCACTCCAGGGGAATCATTCACAGAGACCTGAAGGTAAGGTGCTTTGTTTGATCAGATGTGTTGTCTCTGTAGCTTATTGCAATTGCTTATTACAGTCAGATGCAGTTTGCATTGACACATGGCTGTTAAATGGCCATAGGAGCAATGTCAGATAAGTTATTAAAAGAGTCCTGTTCACTATCTGTCACAAAGGAAATGTGTAAATTCTCCCAGTAGTTGACTACAAAGGCATATAGTCTCTCAGGCAGTATTCTTCTCAACACTTGTGTCTTGTCTTGGACGTGTTTTAGATAAATGTCACGCTTGCAAATATCCTGAAGCCTCTTTGGCTGCTGAATGAGTTTTAGTAGCTGGTCTCTCTGTCTGAAGAAACATGGTAGTGTCAAGGTAGAGGGTAGGTGGCCTCTCTGGTTGTAGACTGTGAGTGGGGACGTCAGACTGAGGAGTTTCACCAGCAGAGAGCTGTTCCTTACATTAGACCTGTGGTTCAGGAACAGGAACAGACAGTTCTCCCCTGCGTTGCTCAGCTTATTGATATTGGCTCCGTAACTGAGCAGCAGGTCCACCAGCTGCTTGTTGCCCATGCTGCATGCCTCCTGTAAAGGTGTCATCCCAGCGTTGTTCACAGCGTCGGCCTCGGCCCCCTGCTGAAGCAGCTCAGAGATGCAGCTAACATTGTCCTCTAGGGTTTTAGTGGACTTCATAGCCATTGCCACAGCAGACAGGTGCAGAGGAGTGTTCCCAGAGTGCTTCACCCCCTTAAAAATAGTCAAGAATGTGCTTGAATTGAATGAAGGACAGATGTATAACCTAATGCACACATTTCAACAGGATAAAGAGCACTGAAAGGACAGTAAAGTGAGGGCAAAGGGGAGTCGCTGAGTGTCACTTATGCAAAAAAAAAAAATCTAAAATATTCCATTAGTGAATAGTATTTTCAACATTTTTTCATTTGTTTGGTCTACCCCAAAAGAGTAATTGCCTAGTTGATTTGAGACCTACGCTATAGGTGATTTGCCTGATATTAGATGGCAAACAGACTGGGCACATGAATTGGGTGTCCTTTTTTTATGCTGAATTGGTCAAAGTTTTTTATTCATTTTGTATTTTCTTTCTTTAGCCTGTCCAAGGTTAAGATTTTATATCTTCGTCATGACATACATTTGGACTTGGAGTAGCTATGACATGTTTATAATGACTGCAGTTGAAGGGTCTTTTGTATTTTATTGTGAACGTTTAAGCAAGAAAAATACAGGAAATGCAAAATACCAAAAAACAACAAAACTAAGGAACAACACCAACCATGTTGATATCTGCTCCCTCCTTGATCAAGGTGGCTATAATGTCCTTATGGAGGATCCCAGCTGCCATATGCAGGGGCGTCATCCCGCTGTCGTCCACAGCATTAACATCAGCACCATAGCTGGAGAGAATTTTGACAGCAGACAGAGCCCTGTAGCGTACTGATAGGTGGAGAGCTGTCTGGTGACTCTTCTCCTCCACCTACCAAAGGAACCACATCAAACACACCTTAGCCAAACATTTCGAAAGGAATTATAAAAATGGATTTGAGGATTTAAGAAATATTTTCATAGATTTTCATTGTTTCTGTTTTGATCTGCAAAATACTTTTCTCAGAAACCCAGTTTCACAGATAGGAGCTTAAATTAGTGGAAAAAGAGGCTAATACATTGATTGACGTTTCACCTTTGCATTGACGTTAACACCGTGCTCACAGAGGAGCTGTAGACAGGCCTCCGCCTGCCTACACAAGCCCATCACAGCAGTCTGGATCTTGGAACCTGGTTTGCTCAGGATGCTCGGCCAGCTGGTTATCACTAAGTGCAGAGTGGTTCGGCCAAGCTGGTCTCTGTGACAGAGGGTGAAATTGGTGCAGAAAGCTGTTAAAGGAAAGGAACCAGTGACAAATTAGACGGTTCTTTGTTTTAGGAAATTATTTTATTTTATTCCAGCTTTATGCCAGAGTTGTTTTTGTTAATTTTATGAGAGCTTTATACTGCAAGAAAAACAACCTCATGGAACACTGTAGTACTGATGGCCGAGATGGTTAGGTGTTAGTGTGTGTATATTTTTATACTTTGCCGCGTATATGTTTGTCCAGACCTCATTTCAGGGTCTGCCCCTGCTGACAGCAGGCTCTGCATGCTCTTTACTCTTCTGTAAGAGGCAGCCAGGTGAAGGGGAAGTATGGCAAGGCCCTAAGGCAAGATGGGACAAGACAGGACAAGACAAACTGAAAAACTGGAAAACCCAAATGTGTTGCAGTCTAACACTACAAGAAGTATATTCTTTTTTGCTATTTTCTTTTCTTTGCACAAATTGAATGATCACACTGGAGCATAAACATGTCACAATTGTGAGTAAACATTGAGCTTCTTGTTGTTATTGTCGATTTGAAGATATTACAACATATAAGATGCTATGTTTGTGCCAATGTGATGTATGTAAATTAAAACTTACATTTAACATGTTTAAATTCTCACAGGTCATTTAAAAAAAATTGTTGCAGTTACCTTCCAAAAAACGTCTTGTGCACCGTCTTGTATCTTGATGAGGAAGTTGCTCCCATACTTCCTTGACATGTCTTCTATACATCCCAAGTCTTCATCCATAATTGCAGTATAGAATTCATTGTTGTGAAACTTCATAAGGTTACCGCCGCTATCTTCGTGTTCCTTGCTCCCTAACATGACCAGGCATCGCAGCCTCACTGCTGTCTGTGCCATTTAGTCTTGTATGCAGCAGCTGAAAGCTGGTTCGTCTGGTTTGCAAGCGCACATTTCTCAGAAGGATGTTGTTCATTTGGCTGTCCGAGGAGGGAAAATCAAATGCGTATCAGCTACCTCTGTTTGCTGTGTGTGGTAGTTTCAATGGCTACTTCTGTTTTCTGTATTTGGTAGTTTCAGCATCTACTTCTGTTTTGTGTGTGTTTGGTGTTTTCAGTCAGTCTGATTTCATCATGTAGGTTTGAGAGTGTCAAAGTGTGATGTACCATAGTGTCACAACTGATAACTTCTTGCTGCAAGCGGGGCCAGTTATGGGGACTGGTGACACCCTTCTGAGTAATTTATACGTCGTTTCAGTGCTTGTGGTTCTTTCAAATTTTACAGAGAATTATAACTTTGTAAAAGCTTAAATGCCTACCAATCCATCTTTTAAAGTACAGGAAATAAAGCACAGTATTTACAAATTTGAATAGAATAGTTTATGTGATGTGAAGCACTGGATTTTTCTGAATCATCTGTACTTTTTACAATGGCTTCATCCAGCAGCTACACGACATGTAGGATGTATCTTCCCATCAGAGACATTATGGGGAAAATTTATGAGAAAAATAAGTGAAGATTTAAAATGTAATGTTAAATGGCCTGGAACCCTAAAATGTCTGTTCTTAATATGTTGTATAAAAACACTGTGATCTTGCACGCAAAAACCTTTTTGCATCTTTACACCTAGTGACATAAGGAACTAATTGTATTGTCTTTGTTTTTTCCACAGCCAAGGAACATTTTCCTCCATGGTCAGGACTGCCATGTTCGGATTGGGGACTTTGGTTTGGCCTGCAGGGATATAATACTGGATGGCCACAACAGCTCCACCTCTCTCAGCAGTGGTACCATATCTCTCAGTGTATTTTATTGACGCAGTACCTCACACAATCCCCAGTAGATGGCGCTATTTGCTTTAAAGTCACATTTCTGGTGTGTTTTGTAGCTTCCTCACATACTACAGGTGTTGGCACATTTGTATATGCTGCACAAGAACAGCTGAAGGGCTCCCATTATGATTCAAAGGTAAACACATTTATGGTATGACAACTAAATTATGATGAATTCAGACTGAAGTTTTAATGTAAAACGACAACAATTTCAAGCTACACTTAATCATTATTTGATTCATCTTCATCTTTGTCATCTTTTCTATCTTCTTCTATTTAACAACTGTCAATCTTAACTGTATGTGTGTTGTTTTTTCTCTCCCAGTCAGACATGTACAGCATCGGAGTGATGGCTCTGGAGCTGTTCCAGCCCTTTGGGACAGAGATGGAGCGGGTCCGGACCCTTGGAGACCTGAGGGAGGGGAAAATTCCAGACTCGTTCCGCCACAGATGGCCACTCCTCACTGAGTACATTGTGAAGCTGACGAGTAAAGAGCCCAGGGTTCGGCCCACGGCCAGCGAGCTTCTACAGAGCGAACTTTTCTGCAGGAAAGACATAGTATGTGGGATATATGGATATTTTAGCTTTAAAAATAATTAACTTTTTATGCTATAAAAGATTTTTTTTTATTTACAAAGTATGCAGCTGTCTGGAAACAAAGGTAAATTCCATTTAGGATTACTTATAATGTTATAACTCGGCATGTGTCACCAGAAAGCTGTGCCTGTTGGATCCAGGAAGGTTTGATCACACTTGCATCTGTAGTAAGGACCCTAATAGTAATTAGCAACTAATTTTAAGAATATGTTTTCCCCCTCAGGTGATCCATGGTTTGCAAATAAGGGTTGAAGAGCAGGAGAAAGAGATCATGCAGCTGAGGAGACAGATCAGTCGGCTTGAGAGCTCAAAAGTCACAGTAAATTTCTCTGAGTCGGACAAGACCTGAGCCTTAAAAATGTCGACACGCTACAGACTGTGAAAACGTCATTTTTTCAACCACTGCAGTACAATACTTAAGTGACTTGGTACAAGTGGTAGAGTGTGTGTAAAGCATTTGAGTGTGTCTTGTACACCTGGATGTAAGGGTGCAACTATTTATTCTCATTCAGCTGTTCAATAAAACCTACTTCTGCTATGTCTGGTGAGATTTCTGAGAAGCAATATGATTATTGGTCCTTTGAGATGTTACTTTTAAATTATTACAAAAAAAGGAAAAAGTGACCTTTAAGGAGAATTGACAATGTCTATTATGATTGTGTGCAGCCTCTTGATCCTGAGGAAGAAGCGTCCCATTGTCAGCAACTTAAAAAGAAATTTTGGACACAGTAAGCCAATTTTGATTTTATGGGGATATTTATTTCCTTGCATGGATGTTGGGAATGTTTTTGTTCTCTGGCCTGTACATGTGGGTGACAGAGGTTTAAAGGCTGAGTAACCACTGACAGGGAATGCACTCTGTTATATTTTGAGAACTGTCAATAGTTGAAATACTATGGGTGCTCTGTAATCTATTTATAAATGGGCATTTCAGCATAGATATAGTAATCTGTGCTGCCAGGTTAATCTGGTTTACAGCCAATGAATTATGCTGGAAACAATTTATATAAAAAATGTTTGACAATAAAACACATTGTGTTGTGGTTGTACTATTGTACACAAAGGTCAGAGGTGTGTACATGCGACGGATCTTCCCGAAACGTTCCTCACGGAGTAACCCGCCAAATGAGCCAATCAGAGCCCTCGTTTCATCGCAGGTACCCGGATGTACCCGTGGGGCAATTAGCTACGTCATTGTTCACCGCCGGACACCCGCTGGAAATAAGGAATGGATTTACAACCGATATTAACGTATTAATAACAGATTACAGGTGAGTGCGTTGTTGCTTTTACGACCGAGCGGCGCTTTAACTATGCAGCCGTGATCGTTAAGTGGCCCCGAGCCGCTGAGATTTGTTGTAGTAGCCTTACACCGGTTCTCTGTCATGTCGGAGTGAGCAGCGCAGTGAGCGCATTCAGCCGCCGGTGTCGAGCCCCTCCTTTCACAGCTAGCTACACGTCCCGTTACCCGGGCGTACGCATTGTAAAGGAAATCTATGTCGAAGTGGAAACAGTAAACCGCCCTTCGGCAGTTGTAGCAGATGGTTATATTACTCTCCGCCATGTTAGTCAGCTTCCACCGTGCCGCCTTAGCTAGTAGTGTTAGCATTAATACTGTCGCACGTAACGTTAGCTCCGGTCGGTAGCTAGTATGTCGCCGTTTCCATGGTGTCGGTGGCTTCAGGAGTCGCTTGCTCCTCATTAGTCTTTCTGTCCTTGTCTTTGTTGAGAAAGGTGAGCTTTTAATCGGCGCTTTGTGTCCCACAGTGGTTAACGGAGGTTTAGTGGGTGTTTTATTGAGGTTTAGCGGCGCTGCGTGTTAAAGGCCTAGCCGCCGTCTGTTAGCCGACGTGAAGCCGTCTGCCGGAGCTGGTGGGAGGGAACAGCTGTTGCAAACGTGCTTCCGACCAGGAAATGTCCTCAGTCGAGTTTTTGAAACTAGTAACGTTCACTTGGTAAATCATTTTCAAGTTAGTTGGTCGAATTGAATATATTCTAAATAGAAGTTAATACTTTGCTGTTTTTTTTCTGGCATTTGTTTTTTAGGGTGAACCTTGCAAGGTGCTCTTACATGTCTGTACAAGAGAGGAGGCGGAATGACTAATGTCCCTGATATTATTTAGTTTATAGCTTTTGTTAATAGACACGTTTGATAAGTGTGATCAGTCAGCCAAGACTTTTCTCCAACATCAAGCCATCGTGGTCTCTTGTTCAGTCATAAAAACACAATGCTGCGTGCAATAACATTCCACAAGAGTTCAGTACAGAGAGATTTCAAACTGCTGCCACTGAGTGTGGATACACATAAATAAGCTGCTATACAGTTGCTGGCACTTCAGTGACTGAGACATTAAATAAACACATGTTCTGTCCCTGATTATTGAAATATAGTGACTGTTTGCCACAAGTGATAGTGATAGATAAGTTAGAAACTGGCTATGACAGATATTATGATGTATTTGACACCACTTTGTAAGTGATTGTTTGTGATAAATAGTGGTGGCTATGGCATTTAGTGGTTGCAATCTACATGTACTGTAAGATATGGGGGAGATGGGCTGTGAGAATGACATGACGTGTATAAATTAGTGTGCGTTTGACTTGTCTAGATTCTAGGCAGAGAATTTAGAAACATTTTATTACTCTATATTTGAATACAGCTTCTCAAGAGATTTAAATTGTGTCTTGATATGCCACACACACAGATGTGTCTATATAAAGCAACAACAGAAATGGAAAAACACTACCTTGGATTAATCTGTTTTTTTTTTTTTTTGCCGCTCAAAGTTGTATACTTCTATGTTTCTGCCCCTCACACAGCAATGAACAATGACCATAGTTGACAGATCTTCAGAAAAGTCTGACCACAAGTCAGTCGGGTGTAAGCGATCTCCCTTCACCAGTGGTGACGTGGGGATGGACGGCAGCTGTTCCAGCAGCTGGGCAGTGGGAGCCACCATGCCCAGTGACTCTCCGAGGCTCAAGGCTTCAGGGGGCTGCCTGGGCCCAACGCCTGGAGCCGCAGTCTACAACAGTACCCCCTCCTCTGTGGACCGGCCTAAGGAGCAAGGTAGGAGCATGGGATTTTTTCAGCTGTGTCTTGCAAGCTGGGAGGAAACTAGTAAGGATGTTGGCTGGTTACATACATTTCACTGCGTGCAGATCCAGGATCAGTCAAGTTCTCTACCCTACCCTCCATTTATCCCTCACACAACACATGGATGAGTTTCCTGGCCTATGTTTTTAAGCAGTACAATTATGCATATGAGGCAAATACCTACAGTCAGTATTTTCCCGCCCATGTTGGAAATGCTGAAATAGTCTCGCATTCAAAACAAAATGTTTTTAAGGCATTACTATCTTAAGACAATAAAGTTGTTTTTACAAAATAAACCACATTGCTAATTTGCGTATTCTATTGTTGAATCTGCTATATTTCATTTAAGTAACATACTGTTGTAAGCCAATTGAGAACTGTTATCTGGTAATTTGATACATAGATAATACAAAGATGCACTAATGAAGCAAAATGTTTTGCTACTATTTAGGCATGAGTGTGACACAACTGGTTTTGTGGGTGTTGTGTTGCTACTTCAACTCTACTTTCATTCATACAGTTACATAACCAAGCCAATTTTGAATTGAGAGCATGATCAATCACTTGAGCATGTAATGCAGTTGTTGTCTGGACATAAAGAGAAGTAGCCAGACTTTAGCACAATCAAAAGAGAAAGCAAACTCTGGCGTAGTTTTTGTAGTTGTTTTTTTTTTTACTTCAGGTTATTTTACACTCTCACTCAGCTGTCTTAATCGCTTTATATTACTGATTAGACTGAAAGCTATGACTGTAAGGTCCTGATGTTCTTTTACTATGTGTCAGTATGTACTTACATAGGCAATGTAGCTTGTACTTGTTGATGTCCTGGACCTGGCAAATGCATTAATCTAATTTTAGTTCCGATGTTGGCTCTGTGTGTACAGTGATAAGCAGTGATGATGGCATTGACTTGCCCCAGAAGGTCCTCTTCCCTCCAGAGCGGCTCAACCTGAAGTGGACCCAGGTCCACCGCATTGGTGCGGGCTTGCAGAACATGGGAAACACTTGCTTCCTCAACTCAGCCCTACAGTGTCTCACCTACACCCCTCCATTTGCCAACTACATGCTGACACGTGAGCACTCCAAAACGTGTAAGTTGGTGTTTCATTGTGGTTCATTGCACCAAAAGAAGTTCTTATGTAATTGTACAGTCATGCAATAATTATCACATCAATCTTGGGAACTTTGGCAGTATCTATGAGCTGCTTTCTTGCCTGATTCATGTCTTACTCATCAATGCTCTGTCCATCTGTTCCTTCTACAGGTCACGAGCCGGGGTTCTGTATGATGTGCACCATGCAAAATCACATCATTCAGGTTTTTGCCAACTCTGGGAATGTTATAAAGCCCATTGGTGTGCTCAATGAGCTCAAAAGTAAGTGATACTTAAGTGTTTTAGTTATATAGTGTCTATAGAGCTAAAACACTGAAGTTGTACTCTTTCACAAAATGTTACCTGACATGAATGATGGGAGGTACTGTGAGGCTGTTTACTGTTTCAATTTTGGAGGGAAATTTTCTTGTAGGAGTTTGTAGTCTGCAGAACATTTAAGTGTGATATAATTTATCGCTTTCTTATCTGTCTTGTGTTTTTTCCCCACACAGGGATTGCAAAGCACTTCCGCTATGGAAGCCAGGAGGATGCCCATGAGTTCCTGCGATACACAGTGGATGCTATGCAAAAGTCCTGCTTACCTGGAACCAAGTAAGTTTCATCCATTTCCAAAACCATCATATGTTTACCTAGAAAGGTTGACCATATTTTCGGCTTTTATTAGATAATTAGTTACTTGAAAAGGAGAGAAAAAAAAAAAAAAAATATATATATATATATATATATATATATATATGCTCTATTTTTTATATTATGTGTTTTGCTGATCCACTGATCAGTCAGCAAAGGCCTTCCAGTCTAAATCTTGCATAAATGTTTATCTATATGTAGATGCACAAGTATTTATGCTTTTCTGCTGAAATTTGTGAAATCAGTGTAGAGCCATTGCCAAGTATGTCATGTACAAAAATGAAGCCTACATGCATGTTTAATAGATACACTGGGCTGACCATTGTGGTTCTCATTGGACTTTTAGAAAGGTGTTTTAGGAACCTCAAGTATCAAGTCGACTCTTATTCTGTAGTAACAGGTGACCTCTCAACTAATTACTCTTGCTCTAATTCCTCCTTTTCTCACTCCTGCTCTTTGGTCTGTAATATGTTGTGACTTGTCAGTGCAAGTAAAGTGACATTTTTTCTCTGTACCCATATAGCTAGAAATGTTTGTCTATTATGTCATTACCCTTATTGGTTGTTTTTCATCCTCATATTTATCTTTGTGACAGATTGGACAGGCAAACGCAGGCAACCACTTTCATTCATCAAGTTTTTGGCGGATATCTAAGGTCCAGAGGTAAGTTTTCATGGTTTCTTTGTTTCTTCAAAACATTGTGGTTGTTTTATTTTACAACTTTGCTAAACTTATAAACAAACTTCTTTTTCAGTTAAATGTTTAAACTGCAAAGCAGTCTCTGATACATTTGACCCTTTTCTGGATATTACTCTGGAAATTAAGGTAAGACACAGTTCATTGTGACGTGTGGGTCTCTTGTTTTACTCCAAATGTGTAACAAACCAATGAATTCAGATCTTAAGAACAGAACCAATAACCGATATTCTCTCCATGCAGACGGCTCCCAGTGTCTCCAAAGCTCTCGAGCAGTTTGTCAAACCCGAACAGCTGGATGGAGAAAACGCCTACAAGTGCACCAAGTGAGTTGTTTTGCAGATAAAAAAGAGCCAGAGTTTTAATTGATTGTTTATTTTTTTATACGTCAGCTGACTAACCTAATATGTGACCTCCACTGGCTACCCATGGCCTCCAGAATCAGATTCAAGTCACTAATGCTCGCATACAGAGTGACTACTGGGTCTGCACCTTCTACCTAAACTCTATAATATAAGTTTACGTTCCTTCTCGGCCGCTATGCTCCTCCAATGCCGCCTGGCTCTGCCATCCCTTCACACAAAGCAATCCCAGTCCCGGCTGTTCGCATCTGTGACACCACGATGGTGGAACGAGCTACCACACGCCATCAGAGCAGGGGCGTCCCTCTCTAACTTCAAGAAGCTCTTGAAAACTCATCCCTTCCGAGAACACTTCCTCTTATAACACCTCTAACTCCTAACATCTAACATGCACTTCCTGTGCTTTTCTTCTTCTATCCCCTACAGTTGACTTGTATTGATTGCTCTTTTTGTTAACTCTAACTTCTTTCACTAGGTATTTACCCCATTGATGCGATATGTGCCATTAGCGCTTTTATTTATTGCTGCGTTTATTAATATGTATTGTCAGTTGTAGATCTTGTGCTGTATTTTATGCTCTGTTAATGAATGTATGTTGTTCCTCAAATGTAAGTCGCTTTGGATAAAAGCATCTGCCAAATGAGTTAATGTAATGTAATATTTGTTTTTCTTAGGTGCAAAAAAATGGTCACAGCCTCAAAGAGATTTACCATCCACCGCAACTCCAATGTGCTCACCCTCTCACTCAAACGCTTTGCAAACTTTAGTGGAGGCAAAATCACAAAGGTACCATGATGTGTGGTCTACAATACCCAGAACCATTAAATAGCTATAGGACCGCACCCATAATTTGTTTTAAATGAATATTTAATTATAATTTAACATTAATCAGCTGTTTCTTGGTCATCAGGATGTGAAATATCCAGAGTATCTGGACCTGCGTCCCTTCATGTCTCAGTCCCAAGGGGACCCCCAGGTCTACGGGCTGTATGCTGTGCTGGTCCACTCTGGATTCAGCTGTCATGCTGGACACTACTTCTGCTATATTAAGGTACTGGCACTGCTATGGACCACTGTTCTAATCTATCAGGACACTGCGGTTGCAAGTACACATGCACACATTTGGTTCTCCAAAACTATCAACAACTCACTATTACAGTTTAGTTCCTACAACAACTCCTGCTTCTAACAGACAACGTCTTAACAAGAATGTAAACACAATATTATTATTCTGTTACAATATATATGATACCACATTTATATATGATGATATTTATACTTGACAGTCAAACTTGCTCAACCTTTATTATATTTAAAGGGTAAGTCTGGGATTTTGTAAACCTGGACCTTTTTGTTAAAGAGTAAGATGGCTGACTGACTCACATTTCCACAGTCATCTTCCTGCAGCAATCTACCTTTTGCGAGATTGTCAGACACTTATAATGAATAGAAGAGCAGTCTGAGCGTTTTTAGTTGATGTACTTTTGACGGGCGCAATTGCCCCAAGGATTACGTTGCAGCTTCCAGCGGAGGCAATCTATTGGACCAATTCCAAAACATTTTGTATGTGTTAGTCATTTAGAACCCAAAAAATATAAAAATGGAGGTTTAAAAATACCAGAATTACCCTTTAACACTTCAAAGCCAGTTCAGAAACTGAGAAAAAAAAAATTTTGAAATGGAAGATGTGTAACAATGATGATTCTGTTTAGCAAATATGTTAAAACCTGCCAAATGTTCTGTTGTGTCTCCCAGGCAAGCAATGGGCAGTGGTATCAGATGAACGACTCCTCCGTGTCTGTCAGTGACATCAGGTCTGTTCTCAACCAGCAGGCCTACGTCCTCTTCTACATAAAGTGAGTAAACCATTGTTTAAATTGATAGGCATTTTTTTATTTTGTAGAGAAAGTGTGGTTAATTTTGTGTCTATGCATGTATGCTGCAGGACCCCCTTGAAAATGAGATGATACATCTCAAGGGGTTATCCTGAAATAAATTCAAATTCAATTCAAAGTCTTTTTACTGTCTAAAAAACATTAAAAAATCTCAATCCTTAATATTAACATTGGTCATTTCAAATGTTTACTTTCTTTTGTGTCACTAGGTCCAGTGATGTGAAGAATGCAGGGGACTACAGCCACATGAGCCATAACCCAGGCATCCCTGGTCAGTCATCTCCACGTCCAGTGGTGATACCACGCATCAACACCACTGTCCACCACAACAACATTGGTTTCATAGGTCCCCAGCTGCCACCACACATGAATAAGGTACTGACAACATTTACATGTAAATACACTGAACAAAATTATAAACGCAACACTTTTGTTTTTGCCCCCATTCATCATGAGCTGAAGACTTTCTCTGTGTACACAAAAGGCGTATTTCTCTCAAATATTTTTCACAAATCTGTCAAGTCAGGTCAAGACCTCGACGAGGACGACGAGCATGCAGACGAGCTTCCCTGAGACGGTTCCAGACAGTTTGTACAGATATTCTTTGGTTATGCAAACCAATTGTTGCAGCAGCTGTCCAGGTGGCTGGTCTCAGACGATTTTGGAGACGATTATCTCAGCAAAGGAGAAGTGCTCACTAACACAGATTCTGACAGATTTGTGAACAATATTTGAGAGAAATAGGCCTTTTGTGTGCATAAAGAAAGTCATAGATCTTTCAGCTCATGATGAATGGGGGGCAAAAACAAAAGTGTTGCGTTTATAATTTTGTTCAGTGTACATATTTGAATGTTAGCAATTTAAGATATATATAGCCAGTGTTTGACCTGGACACTTAAATATGTTCTTGTGTCCTTTTTGTTTCCTCTTCAGAGCACTCTCCACGTTAATGGGAATGGATCTCTGAGGGACTATCCAACTAACTCCAAGCCCAGCACCAGCAGCAGTGTTGTGGGAAAACCTAGTCATGGACCAGCCTCATCCACTTCTTCCATATCTCACTCAATCAGCCGGCCCACAATGATCCCAGATCATGACAAACGGCAGAAGCTTTCATTCTTTATTGGACAAAGCAAACAGAACCGCCCGTCCTCGTCCTCTTACAGCCAGCCGTCCTCTGCCAGTAGCAGCTCCTCCTCCAGCTCTCTGTCATCCTCACAGTCTACCTCAGACGTCCACTCAGACATTCGCTTTGTTCCACGTCAGCTTCACCGCGTTAACGGCACGTCTTGTAGTAACGGGGATCACCGCACCGGAGGCAATGGAGCGTCATTCTTGGTGCCGTACGGCCAAGAGTCTTCAGAGGAATCGGACCAGGAGAACGGGGGCACTCTGGATAATGGCCGTTTAGCCAAGTCTCACCTTAATGGAAACAACAGAGCAGGAGAGGTCTTGGATAATTCTCTTAACGCCACCAACGGAGAGTCGGGAGTGCACCACAATGGTAACGGATTAAATGGATCAACCCATGGCGTCTCTAAATCCAGTCAAAATGGGCACCATTATGGACACCACAAAGTGAATGGACACAAAACTCCTGATAAAGTAAATTAAATGCTTTGTGTTTTGCTATCTCTTCATAAGATTGATAACTTAATAAACAGTAGTTTTGTGTCTGAATGAATAATCATGTCTTGTTTTCACTCCTCAGGTCTCTGGCAGTAGTCATAGCAGTTCATCCTCAGTGGCTTCTGTTGCTGCTAATGGGCTAGACAGCGACCATAGTGAAACAAGGTAAGATTAGCACTCAACAAGTTATTTCTCTGTCAGCCATGTATTAAGCTTTAAAAAATCTCTTTGAGTGCGAGTTAAAAGGAATAATATTAATTTGTTTCAAATTCTACTTTGTTGCATTGACATTTGTGTTTTTTCTCACATATTTACACCATGCACAGGCATTGCACCCCGAAAGTGTAATGTAAAGCAATATTTATATTCTAGTAAATTTTGTTTGTTTTTCCAGCAACGAGGCACACACTTCTGTCTCATCCCAGGCCAGTTCTTCTCAGAGCATCCATCCTGCTGCTAGTGAAAGCCTGCACCTCTCCACTCCTGACACAAGGGCTACAACTGTGTCTGAACCCCGGCCTCAGCTTACTGCCACCTCCACTCTTAGCTCTCCACCTTCAGCCACTGCTACAAAGACCCATTGTGTCACATCTAGAGAATCTGCTTCCTCTTGCCCCGCGGCCTTATCCATCCCGCCAGACTGCTCTCAAGGCACCAGTGGGGCCTCTGCAGCTCTACAGAATGTTAGTAAAAGTGGAGATAAAGCAATGGATCTACCACAGACCAATGATCCGTCAGCAGGGACTGAAAGACGTACAGATGTTAAGGAGCAACACCAGTCCAAGCCCAGTTCTAGAGGCAATGACGGACAAAATTCCCGTGACAAGGAGAGAGACAGACTGTACTCTGACTGGAGCAGAGACAAGGAGAGACACTACAGGGACAGGAGTCAGGAACGAGAAAGTGACAGTGACCGTCATCGGTACAGACGGGACTATCGAGATCATCAGCGCCCCTCATACAGGGATCGTTTACCTCCTCACGATCGTAACTACAGGGACGGGGAGTCTGAGCGTCGCTGGGTGCGACCTGTTCACCATCCCAGGGAGCGTGATCGTGACAGGTGCTCTCACCATTACCACTACTATCACTACCAGCGGTCCAGAGAGGACAGGGGCCGTGGGCGGAGGGGGCACAGTTATCTCTACCGTGACGAGTCTCGTAGTCGGTCTAGGTGGCAGGAGGAGAGTCGAGAATCCCGGGGGGTAAAGGACAAGAGCAACGGCAGGGAAAGGGACTATTACACGTCAAAGGAGGAGGCGTCCTCGCCTGCCACAGTGCCAGAAACCTCCACAAAGTCCAAGGGCTCGCCCTCTCGAGCTCGTCTCTCCACGTCTGAATCTGCTCCAAACAGGGAGGATCAGAATCACAAGAGGACTACTAACCCCCTGAGCAAGGACAGGGAGGACAGCTCTGAGGCCTGTCGCTCTAAAAAACACAAAAAGAGCAAGAAAAAGAAGAAGTCAAAGGACAAAGAGCGACACCGTGAGAGTGGGTGAGTAACACTATCTTTGCCTCCATGTTGCATGAAACAGCTTTGTGTAATATTTGTTTTGATAGTGATCTTCTATCTTCCATTGTAAACTTAATTGGATAATTCCATTCCCATTATTTTAGGGCTGGTCAAACGATTGGTCAATTAATCAATAAGTCAGTCGACAGAAAAATGATCTGCAACTATTTTAATTCATTGAAATAGCAATTTTTCAAGCAATAATCATGGAAAAATGCCAAATATTCTCTGGTTTCAGCCGCTTTGTCATAAAACAGTAAACTGAATATTTTGGGATTTGTATTTAGCTGACGACAAAGCCTCCAGTTAGATCTAGTCGTGGATTGAGATTAATCATTGTGTGTTTTCTGGCTTTGCCTAGAAGCTCCGATGTGGATTCAGACAGAGCCACTGAAACAAAAAAGAAGAAGAAAAAGAGGAGGCAGCGGGACAACGAAGCCGAGCAGCACAGCCCAAGAGCAGCTCGGAAGAACGGAAGCAGTGAGGAGAAGGAGAGCCGCAAGCGACATTACAATGACATCAAGGACACTAAACATGACAATGGTCTTTCGCTAGAAAAGCGCCGGCGCACAGACTATGCTGATGGCAGCAGTGACCGTCTGCTGCCCTCCCACCACACCTCGCCCACAAATGGTTCAACTCACCGCCATGTCAACGGATACACAGGTAAAGCATGTTTTTCACATTCAGAGTCCTCCTCAAATCATTAAAGTGCTGAAATAAATGCTGCGTTGGAGCTTGTCAATTTAGAGTGCTGATCCTGTTTTGTAGGAAACGGTTACAGTCAGACCAATAGCGACTCCCTCAGATTCTCCAGTGGCTTGAAACACTGACTCTGTGAGTGGGCGACCTTTTGATGATTATCACAGTATGCTTGAGTACAGTCAGTGCTTATAAACAGTAGGAACTATTATTGGCAAATGTTTTAGCTCATAGCTCGGCAAATAGATTATATGGAGGCCTCTTCTTTCTCATTTCAGACGAATCAACACCATTTTAACAACAGCAGAGGAATGACATCAACAACTTTTTGACATGGTGCTTCTTCACTGGGAATATATTGTATTTTTACCACAACTAAAGTGTTTTAAATGGTCAGAAACCTTTTTTTTATGCATTTATTTGTTTGCCGTTATTCTCCTAACTATGGTTAAAAGAAAAAAACTGTCACCTGTCACAGTTATGATGAAAAATATTAATATATACTTGTATGAACACAAACAAAGCCTGGAGCTTAAACATCTCAGCTGCTGCTCAGTGGAACTCAGGACTTGAAAACTTGTTAACACCCATCACGGATATCCACCTGCTTCAAATCAGAATGAAACAAAAGGGAAATGTGTTTGCCCAAGAGAAGAACTGTGAGGCTTTATTTGGGCCGCAAGTTTAAGATGTCACCATATCTACAGAGCCGCGGCATTTTTTTGTTTTTTTTGTTTTTTTTTATCCCACCAGGAGTGAACAAACCAATGGAGGGAGATATATTCTTGAATGAGACGGACGAGTGCAGTGGTGGGAGCAAGGCGTCGCTGACTGATACCTCCACATTAACCCTGGACAGACTTGAGGACATTTCCCAGCATTTTTAATTTGTTTGTTTGTTTCCATTTTGCTCTGGAGCCTAAGATTCACTCTCTAATTTTTAAACTTTTTCACAGATGTGGAGGTTTTTGTTTAGATCATGCCCCTCTCATCTCTCTCACTTTTCTTTTGTTTTAAACGTTAAAAAAAAAAAAAAAAGCATACAGAAATTTGTTATCATGGCTGTGGACCATTTGTGTTTGCTTTTTAATGAAAAATACAGTTTGACTTCTAGCATCATAAAAAAAATACTGTGAATTTAATTTTGAACTGTACTATCAGTTACTTTTATATGTAAAAAAATCCTGTATCAGGGTTATCAGTAGATGTTTTGTTGTTTTGCTTCGTTTTTAGAAATCCCCATGTTAATTTTGGACCATATTCTCTGGACTAAAGTCGCTAATGAGTATGGTTTGTTTTGTTTTTTGATTTTTAAACTTTAGGCAGAAGTTGAAAAACTGCTGTTACATCTTTAGTTTAGCATGTCAGAATTTATACATTGTATAAGGTAAAAGCCTTAAAATACATTTGTTAATGTCAGAAATTGTAATTTGTTCTTGGTCTTTTGACTTTGTTTACAAGCTGCATTGAAATGAATGAAAAATGCTGATTGAGATGATTGATGAGTTGCCAGGGATTTTTGAAAAGCTCCTGTCTGCCTTTGTGTTTTATTCTAGGAATGGGCCGATTGTATTCAAGCCTCTTGTTGAACAAACTTTCCACTATAGTCAAATTATGATGTAGATATATTGAGGATGGAAACTGATAGTACTTGCCTGTATTCAGGTTTTGTTAAATACACACACTTTTCTAGCTACACGAGTCAGCAGAATATTATTCACAGCACTGTTCCCATGTTTGAAATAACCAAAGACCTGGTAAGTTTAGCGAGTCTCCTCACTGAATTCACATGCTCACAAAAACTTGTTTTCTGATCAGCATGTATTTTTATTCAAAGTCTTCATCAAAGTATTCAGGAGCCGTTTCCCAAACTGAGATCAAGTCATGTTTAAAGTCCATCTACTAATGAAATATTAGGCTGCGAGTTGGCTTGATCTGTTTGGGAAAAACAGTCCCTCAGATTCCAGTCACCATTTACACAGTATTCAAGGGTATTTTGAACCCGTTTGTGTCCTCTACTGTCTTGTCAAACTCAGCATAGTGAGTTTTTCTTTCCTAGAAGGTCATGTATTATCTGCTCTTCAGTAATAACAGTGTGAGGAGGTTTCACTGCTCTGCAAAGAGCTGCACAAAGTCCCTCTTCCACTATTGTAAACTGTCAACTTAAAAAACTAAAAAGGTGAACGGGTATAGGCTATGGCCGTTATGATTTACATGCTACATAAACACAACAAAGAAAAAAACTAAACAGTATGTACATTATATACTATACATGCATAATGTAAATCGGGGGGGCTGCCTCTTGTTAAACAAATCAAGAAAATAAATACAAAAGAAATGAACTCGATCAGAGAGGTTGATCTTCAATCCATAAACTGAATGAAACTGTGGCCACTAAAAACGATCATTACACTCAATATATGAAAGGATTACATATTTATTTGCCTTCAAATGGGAAATAAGGGAGCGTACTGTAAATAAAAAAGGTTCATTGTCTAGAATAACTCTGTTTGCATATACAGAAACAGCCACTTGAGGGCTAATAATCAGACCAGCTGATGTATAAGCTTTAGGCTTTCTTCAGTTTCTGGATACTACTAAATAGTGTTGGTGTTTGCAGTTGTCAAAGGGCGTGTGAGGTGAACATATTAAAAATGTTGACTGGCATCTTGGCAGACTGCAGACAACCAACCAGGCGAGTCAGTCTGGATGAGAGGAGTGCCATATGATGAGGATGGATATTCAGGTTTCAAATCCTCACACCGCATGTGCAGTACAGTGGATTTAATTCCTTCTGTGTCCAGCAGAGGGCAGTGTCATCACAGCCACAGTATGATTCCAGTCGTGGCTGTTCCTCCAGAAAACTAGTCCTTTTTGTCCATTTGTTATCATCCAGTTTGATAAAGATTCTCCCTCTTCTCCATAAAGTCTCAGACAAATGACAAATGAGTGTTCAAAGTCTGTGCCGGATAAAGTAAAACCATCACATCAACCGAGAATTGAGGTGCAGACAATCTTCAGGTGGAAATAAACTTAATCCATTCCAGTTCGAAAAACCTCCCACCTGTGTTTGCTGCTTCTCTTCCAACCCTGAAAAAAACAAATGGGACTGTAACCCTGTAACACCCACACATATGTGGACTCTGCTGGTCACAGACATGGCAGCGATGCAGGTGGACGGTCATCATTTCTTATTAGCTATCCTCCGCTTCCTGGTGGCCAGCATGTCGTAGAAAGGATCCCTGCTGATGCTTGCTCTGTGGGAAGAGGACAGAAAGAAATGGATCACTGAACAGCTGTTCATAACAATGCTACACACACTATCAAGACTATTTTGCTGTCGGCAGGCTGATTTTTATTACCAGTCAAAGATGCTTGAATCTGTTGTTATGGAGAGAAGACAAACACAATTATGATCAATTTGTGATGTTTCAGGTATTTAACTTGACCTTAAGCTGTGTTGTCTCCCTCAGTCAGTGCATCTTACTCAAAACACATCATATCTTGCGTCTGCACTGCATTCTGGGGGATCTAGAAAGAAACCTACTTGCTTTGATTCTAAGTGATCAACACCAAAACCTGACATTAACAGATTTGTTACACCTCTGAAACCTGCTCTTCAATCAGACTCTACTGGCTATGCTAAAAAATAGCTAAGATTCTCATTATTTATGTTGTCCACACAAAAAAAACAACACAAAGAGCTGTTTCAGTCACCAAACATGGTAGCAAACAGTGCAATTAAACACCCAGGAGACATGAAACAACGTTAGCATTCATTTAGATTTGTGTCTCTGGCCGTTTCCTTTTAGCTCCGTTTTGGTCTCCACCAACTCCTGGGGGAAATATCTGGCTCTTCAGCTGCTAAATGCTCCGCTGTGTTCACCAGCTAGTTAATTAACTTTGCCTGCCATTTTGTGTTAAGAAAGTAGCGTACAGTGGGTTTGGCCGAGTTTTTTTTGTTCTGACACTATGAGAGCTGTCCGACTAAACAGTCAAATTGAGAGCTGTAAAAGTATTTTCAGCAAAATGCACTTTAAGTATCAAAAGTAAATGTACTCATTATGCAGTAAAATGGTCCCTCTTAGTACGTGAGATAAATATGTTTTTGCATTAATATTACTGCTACATTATGTACATGTTGCCTGTTACTGCTGTAGTTGTTTTTTCCCTTTTCTTTACATATTATATACTGTTGGGTAGTTTAATCTACAGCAACATTGTCGCTGTCCTGTGAGAACCATGTAAAAAGTCCACTTTTCTTATGAAAAGAAAAAAAGCTGTTTTCAGCTTTGTGACTCTTTGTCTCCAGCTAATCCAAGAGAGGTTTTTAATGGTTTATTATCTTAAGAAGTGGGAAATTAACCCATAAAGAAACACTTAATCCTTCAGTTTCTTCCCTGATGTTTTCACTGGACAGAAAGGGTATGAGATTTAGTGTGGCAGAAGTATAAAGATGCATAAAATGGAAATATTCAAGTACAGGTACCTAGAATTTGTACAGTATTTAAGTAAATGTGCTTCGTTACTTTTCCACCACTGCTGACACACACACACTGAGGATGGGCATAACGCTGAGTAACCCGATGTTTTCCCAGCAGCAGAACAATCAACACGCTGACACCGCCAGTCTTATACGTGCATATGTGCACACAGAACAGTTACCACAAGAGCAGTTTCCAGCCTTGCAGATGAGTCAGGTGGCAGCATGTGGATATACTGTGCGCGTGTTTACATGTGTGTGCAAATCTGCTGACCACAGGACAGTCTGCCGCCGCCCTGGCAGCTGAGTCAAGTGAGTGTGTGTTTGAAGCAGCACAACTCCATCCTGCCGAGCCCCATCTGTGACTTTCGTTGTTCCAAGGAAGGGAGAGACATCGTGATGGACTATCAGAGTTTACACTAAAAGCACTCTGAGGCCTAAAAAGAGCAGTGTGAAACGTGTAATACAGTAGACTAAATCTCCCAAAATGAGAAAAACGACCATCTCTCTCTTCTTTCCAGTCACTTTGAATTGAAGCAGCCTCACCCAAGCAAGATTTCCAGTAACTTAGCCGAATCACCCATCACTTTCATTAATGGATACACATATGTCAATGCTAAGTGGTTTTTCTAATATTATTAGAGCATGAAAGGGTTGTTTAACATGATTTCTGCTCTGATATTGATCATAAATGTCAGTGAAGCTGTGGCTGAGTGGATGATGTCCAGCGAGCTGATCAATTACCCACTGGGTCCAATTTACTGCTGCACCTCCACGCTCCTGCCTGGTTAAACAAGGCAGCATTTGGAAACGACAAATGTAAGAAATGCGTGAAAGCCTTTAAAAACACTTCTAAGAGCGCAGTGAGGCATAGTGCCTGGGTGTGTGTGTGTGTGTGTGTGTTTTTCTTTGCTTGCTGAGCCTAATCAAAGGGAAGTGAGCTTATCCAGCAGAGCAGACGTCACCTCTGAGTGTTATCTGTGTAGAAGTGTGAGAAACGGAGTCACGTTTAGTCACCAGCGTGTGTGTTTTTGTGCTGGTCTGCACATTTACGATTAAGCTCACAGCTCTGTGTGTGTGTGTGTGTGTGTGTGTGTGTGTGTGTGTGTGTGTGTGTGTGTGTGTGTGTGTGTGTGTGTGTGTGTGTGTGTGTCTCAAGGTCAGACATGAGAACGTGCCACATGGGAGAAGCCCCGGCGTTGGCTAAGTGGCCTCTCAGTGTAAATGGATCCACACTAACACGCCTTCTCTTACTTGATGGATTTGATCCACTCCTCCTTCTCCTCCGGCGTGGGGGCCGATATCCTGTACACTACGTGGTTGCCCTCGACCACCCGCCCATCCGCCTCGGTCTTGCAGGCCTTGATCACCTGACCTTTGTGGTTGGGGTTGTAGAGCTCGAAGCAGTTCTGAGGAGGCAACCAAGTGATGTGAACAACAGTTTATGTTGTTTGTATGAAATTAAAAAGAGATCGACATGGATTTAGAGGGTCAAGACAGTGTCTGGAGTTGCTCCTTACAGGTTTCCTGGGCTCGTCCACCTCTCTGATACTGAGGTTTTCCAGAGGTATAATCCCACGAGGCTCTTTATCCTGGAAACACACAAACAAAGACAACACTCAGTCAGTCTCTTTACCACTATCTAAGATGAGGGATCAGGACAAGGACTAAATCAGTGTGTAACAAGGGCGAGATGACACACAACGAAGAAACGATCCAGCCTAGATAATATCACACACTCGAGTCACTGAAGAAAGTGGCCGAATTGTGTTTCATTGTGTCCTTAAGTGAATAGATCATCAAATCAGTTGTGATAAAACACTTTAGATGTGACATGCAGCACGCTGCATTATATTGAGCCTGACAGCATCAAAGTTTTTATTCATCCTGGTCACGTAGGGGGCAGCCCCCGAGGGAGACATAACCCTACACTCTCCATCCTCCAGCGACTGCTATGTGTCTGCAGGGCCAGATGTGAGGGGTGTGTGTGTGCGTGTGTGTGTGAGTGTTGGAGA